TTTAATAATAATAATAATATAATATAGATCGATTTCTATAGCGCATTTCCATGTAAATGCTCTAATGCGCTTTACAACATTGTGCGAGGGACTTTTCCAGACTGCCGGAGGCAGTTTACAATTAATAAAGGAGAAATTTTACAGATGCCCCCTCCCCCCATTCCCAGTAAACAGGCCAGACCACATCACAGTAATCTCGTGATGTGGGTTCTTTAACGTCCCCTGCCGAAATTAACTAATTGATAGGTGCAGGAGACGGGACCTCCGGCTTTACGTCCTATCCGAGGAGACAAAGCAACGTGAGTGAAGCGTCTTGCTTAAGGACACAACGTCAAGCCCCAGCCAGGACTTGAACCCGGGCCATCTGACCCACAGTCCAGCGCACTGACCAGTGGACTACTCATGATGGCTAAAACACTCAAACAGCCAATAGACTATCCGGTAGTTTTGGTTGGATCTTATTCAGAACGGTGCGTGACTAGTCTCATGTGTATTTTTGAAAATTTGCTAACGCGTAGCTTTATCCAAGTAACGGAATTGATTCGACAAAAAAAAATTATTTCTTTTGTTTATCGTGGACTGGATTACTGGATCAGATAACGGATCTGACCTTGTCTCAAAGGTTCGCACTGAATCTGTGACAGGGAAGGAATTGATTTTATCGATGTCTTATTTCTTTGTTGTGGAAAAGGTTGTTTGATCGGATCATGAATTCAAACCTCATAAGTGGCGACTTTTTGTTGCTTTGAAAAAAAATAAAAAACTACTCTTTCGCCTTCGGAACGTATGAATATTTCTTGAGGAGCATAACCAAAGTTTTGCCAAAACAACTATAAACAACCAAATCCATCTTAAATCCTTTATTACAAATATACCATATACCTCTTCAGTAATACTCAGTCAAAAAATGGAGAAATGGAAGCTTTTAAATCATTACCAGTGGACTCCACATGTTACTTCGCTTACACAATTTTCTCAAAAGATAAGTTTTCCCCTGCACAGAACATGTATCTACACCATTTTCAGCTGAAGAAATTGTTTTCCCTTAGGTACTGAAACGCGAAAGCGACGCTTGCTAAAGTCTCAATAAAGCTCTTAAGACTTCAACAGTGTCATTTGCAATTACAAAGTATTGGGTGGTTCTATAATCAAAGTGGTACCATGATCTTAGTAAACAATCGTCTCTAAAATATTCCTCTATTTGCTCTTTGTGGCGTTGGCAACGTGGCGCACTAGGCTGACCTATCTTTAAAACAGATCGTTAAAACGCAAAGCGTAAATTGAATCCTTGTTGTCCTAAATACCCAAGGTTTGAGCCTGGGAAGTAAATTTAGAGATAGTATTTCACTAGTATGTGGCCTCTTATGACGTAAAATGATGTCTCAGTAATAATTGGTATATTCTGTCTTTATCTTGCTAATAACGTCACATATATTTAATGCCTAGGAGCTGTTTCGTTACTAAAGTACAGTACCAAAAATAAAATACAGAAAGCAATAATGCGGATCAATAACTTAAATAAACGTCACCTTCCCTTAAAGTTTTATTAAAAGAACTTAAATCCTGTCGAAATCTGAAGAATAATCTTACTTGGCCTGAACTGGAATCCCAAAAAAAACCAAACACTTCAATTCGTCCATTGCCTTGTGCTAGACATATGTGACCCATTAAATCATTTACAATAAAAATATTAACCTTTAAAAACTATTAAAGGGAGAAAAATAAATATCTAAGCTTCCATGCAGCATAGAAACTAAATAAGAAAAATCATATTCTTTGTCAAAGCAAAACTGCCCGAAACAAATCCTAGCTTTCGGAGTCTCAAAATGCGGGCATAATTTACATTCTAGCGATTGGCAATAAATTTTAAAGCAGTGAGTTATGTAAACGACGCCATAGCGACATTATATGCCATGGAAAATGGTGGATATTCCGGGAATGGACCCCTATTCATGCCTCCTAATCACTTTCACGATTTAAAGAATATTTCTTTAGCAAATGCTATCCCTTCCAGTTTCTAATAAATTTGTTTGTAATAGATAGGTATTAAAAAAGCACTTGAAAAAAAAAATTAGCATTAACGAAGCAACATTTGTTAAGAAAGAGCTGCTAGTTTTTGTAAATTTTAAACAAATATTTGAAACATTTTCGTGGCGCATTAACCCTTTTTCTCCGTGAATTGAAACTTGTTGTTACTGACCGTCAAAAATTATCGAATTTGATTCTCTAATTTTTCCAAACGCGTTTCTCTATGTCACCAAGCTGTTGTTGATAAGGTAAATTATTACTCAAATATTATCGCTTTGAGGATCAACGCTGCTACTTCTAGTTGTTTAAACACCTTCACAGTTGTTTGAACAAAACAATATAAAAAAAGACTTCCCTCCCAGCCTGTTGTTAAAGGAATTGATTATAAATGCGAGGACCTTAAGCCGTTTCACTAGAAGTATTCGATCTTCTTTGAGGTGGATTCTACCCCCTAAGACGTATTTTATCATTAGGAGTTTGGCCAATTTACCTTAACAACCGCAGGTTGACATTAACAAACATCTAATCTAATTCTTGGCTATAGCCCAGCATTTTCTTAACAAACAACACCTCTATCCATTTCATTTCCCTATTCGTCACACATTTTGGACAATTAACCCTTAGCGGGGTACATTCGAGATCCAAATTTTTATACCCTACAATAGTACATTTACCCTTTTACTCGAGTGATTCTTTCATAAACCTTTCATAAATATCTTTTAGAGCTCCGAAGTTTTGCTAGTACCTTTGTGACGACCACCACTTTTTGAACTGTTTCCACTTCGTGTAAATTCCATTCGTTGCTCTTTAAACTCCTCTGTAGAAAGGTGGGTGCCAACTGTTTGGAATCGGGACGAGGAGGACTGTAATGGTTTGCGTTCAACGTGGAGTTGTACCGGCTCGAATTGTAATTTCTCCTCCGCCTCTACTTTCACGCGAATGGGGCTCGCTGAGCCGTGAGAAGTTTCAACCTGTGAAATGACAGTTTCATTGCTCGCTCGCTCTTCAGTTGTCTCGATGACATTTCGTGGGGACTGCACCCGAAATGGTGACAAAGATGGGGAGGAAGAAGTGGACGTGGACATGGAACTTGTCTGTAATTGAGTGATTTTAGTCATGACTGATTTGCTCGTGGATGTGAAAGTATGGCTTCTAGTGTCTGCAACATTTAACGTTGTAGGCTGGCTGGATGCTTTTGTATGTTCTAGAAAGACGTTTACTTTAGGGCTGATACTCGATTCCAGGTGCTGTATCTTAGTAGGGCTGCTGGGTGGAGTAAAATTAGTTTCACCGTTATTACTTACAAGAGTAATCGAGGGATCTCCAGCTCCTGGATCCAAGTGGACACCGTGGCTTGGGCTGACACTTCTTTGGATTCTTGTTATCTTGGTCATGACAGTACTGCTACTCTGCTCACTGCTATCGGTGGTGTCCCTGGTTCTTGTTTCAAATGGACTTCTGACTTTAACCATCCGTTTGGGACTCATCTCGTAGTTAGAAATCTCTACAGGTCTTGTCTTTTCCTTGACGTCAACCATAAATTCTGTGTGGCCGAAAGCGGAAGACGAAGACTGTATGGATTCCTGTGGAACAACTACCTCTCTGGTTACTGTAACTCCTTTTGGGGGCATGATGTAGGATGTAGTGTAATGTGGCTCGACCTCTCTCTCCGGCCTAGGAAGTCCCTTTAGCCTAAAAATCTCCTGGTTCAACTCTTCGATTTCCTTGATGTAGCCGTTGCACTCGAGGATCTTCGCCTCAAACTCGCGTTGCAAAGAGGTAATATCTGTCTCGAAAGTTGTCTTTACACTCCTTATCTGGATCTCCTTGTCTTTCTTCTCATCCTCTAAAAATCCTTCCAGTTTCAACACTCGGCTGTTCCGGTGGTTAAGTTCGATGTCTATCTCCGCCAATTTTTGATTTAATATCTCGATCTCACGGATGTAGCCATCACATTCTACCTGTTTATTGTTAACTTCACGCTTCAGCTTTTCTAACTCTTGTTCGTTGGTGCTGTTGAGTGTGCGTAATCGTTCAATCAAGGTCTCTTTCTCGATTACTTCTGTTTTGTACACTTCAATTTTGCTTTCGATTTCTGTGATCTTTATAAGCAGAACATTTGTCTCGCTTTCTGTTAGATTCTTATCGGCCCGCGCCTCATCCATTTGTTTCACTAGAACATCAAATTTACCTCGTATAGTTGACAGTTGCGCGTCGAGGTCGTATTTTTCTTGATTGAGCTTTTCGATCTCACAGATGTAGCCCTCGCACTCCACTTCTTTGGTATCAAGATCACGTCTGAGCCTATCAAGTTCACCATCATTGTTTGAAATCTGGATGCGAAGCTTTTCGATGACCGTTTCCTTTTCGATGATTTCTGTTTTGTATTCTTCAATGCGAGTTTGAATCTCAATAATTTGTTCGTGCATAACGCTAGCTTCATTCTCTCCCTTGCTTCTCAGATCATCCACGTGAGCGACCACAACTTCTTTCTCCTTTCGTAGCTCGGTTATATGGATCTCAAGCTTGTTAATTGTGCTGCGAAGCGAATTAATCTCCACTAACTGCTCAGACTTTTCATGCTTGAGCTGGTCAATGTCGTGCATGTGTCTCTCGCTTTCGTTTTTCTTGGATAAGAGATCCCTTTTAAGTCGATCGACCTCCTGTTCATAGCTTTTGGTTTGGAATCGGAACTTTTCTAGGATGGTTTCCTTCTCGAGGATTTCTTTCTTGTAGCTCTCGACCCTTGTCTGAATCTCGGTGACTTGTTCACTCATAAACTTGGCGTCTGTCTCCCCCTTAGCCGTGGAGTCCATGAGTTGTCTCTCAACTCCTTCTCTAGCGACCTTTTCTTTTTGTACATCACCTTCCAAGATGATAACCTTCTCCCGAAGCGACATTATTTCTACAGTCAACTCAGCTTTCTCCTTATTGATCTGCTCAAGTTTCTCTATAGAAATCTTGAACTCTCCGTCCTTTGAAAGCAGGTCTCTCCTCGTTACCTCCAGCTCATACTTCAAGTGTTCAATTTCGTCTTCCTTGATACTGATCTCTCTCTTAGCGTTGTCTAGCTTGGTCTGCAGCTCAGTTACGAATTTTGGATGGCCAGTTGATTCTTTGTCTCCGCGGGTCTTTGCTTCAATTAGCTGTGTTTGAAGATGAGATTTTTCTGCTCGCTCAGTGTCAATCTGGATTGTGAGCTTGGAAGTCTTATTTCTCAGCGCGAGCAGCTCCACCTCCATATCTGCCTTTTCTTTCTTGGTGTCCTCCAAATCTTTGCAGTAGTCATCGCAGTCGTTCTCTTTCGTCTCCAATTTAGTCTTAGTGAGGTGAAGCTTGTGTTCTGTTTGCGACATTCGATCCTTGAGATCTCGAATAACCGTTTCCTTTTCAATAATCTCCCGCTTGCAAATTTCCACTTGTTTCTGAGCATCTTTGACTTGGTTCTTTAGATCGTTACTCTCATTGGTTCCTTTGCTCACGATCTCATTAATGTTGTGTTTTAGCTCATTTTTGTCTTTTTCGTGCTCTTCCAGAAGGATCTCGAAGTTTCGTATTTGCCCACGGAGTGTGCTTATTTCGATTTCCATATCTGCTTTTTGCTGGTTACTTTCGTCGAGATCTTTGATGTAATCTTCCCATTCCAAGTGCTTGTTCTGTAGATCTCTGCGAACTTTGTGGATTTCGTCCTCTAGATCGCTGTACTTACTTTGCATCTCTTTGATGACACGCTCTTTGTCCACAATTTCCTTACGAAAGGTTTCAATCTCGATTCTAAGCTCATTTACACGCTCCCCGAAATCTCTTGATTGGCTGTCACCCATGTTTTTGTAGTCTGCAAGCTGGGCTCTCAAGTTCTCCTGTATCTTCCTGTCCTCCTCAATTTGAACCTGCAATTTCTTCACCTTTGTTCTCAGAGAAATTATCTCGTTCTCTAGATCAGACTTCCCCTGTTGGGACAGCTTGCTCGAGTCTTTCTCAGATTCTAGTTGGACTTCAAGTTCCGCTAGTTTATTGAGGAGTTCCTTATTTTCATCTTGAAGGTGTTCGTAGTCTAACTCTACCTTTGAAATCCTAGTTTGATATTCTACGACTTCTCGTTTGAGAGTTATAACTTTCTCCTCAAGCACTCGGTTTGAACCTTGTAGCCCACTGTTCCTCTCCCTCTCGGTCTCTAATTCATGTTCCATCGTAGACACCTTCTTCAAAGCCGCTAGAAGTTCCAGCTGCAGTTGGGCTTCCCGCTCCTGGAGCTTCTTAACATCGGCTTCCATATTGGAAAATATCTGTTCTGAGGATACTTCAGTTACATTCTCTTTCTGACTTTCCAACACCAGATCGTGAAGCTTTCTTTGCATAGATTCAACTTCTTTTATTAAAACGTCCCTTTCCTCTCCCCATTCCAATTGATCTTTTTGCAGGTCTTCAAAGCGACGATTTAGAGCTTGTAGCTCAACCGTAACCTTTTTGTTTTCAGCCGTTAAGTTCTGTATCTCCTGAGTTTTCTCAGCTAAAAGCTTTTGTAGTTCAAGGACTTTGTCTTGAAGTTTGCGTCTTTCTTGCTTCACCTCTTCTAGGGAATTCTCCAATCCACTCACTTTATCACGCAAGACGTTATTTTCTCGTTTGAGTGTATCTCGCTCTATCCTGATCGTTTCATACTCTGCACTCATATCCAACGAGAACATGTCCGGAGCTGCTTCCACAGTTGAAACACTTTGAACGGCAATGGTCTCTTCACGCGAAATTTTAAGCTCATCGTAGAGCTTTTGTAGAGAGGCAAGGTCCATTTTGAGCCTCTCGTTTTCGTCTCGTAATATTCGAACGTTGCCTTCTACCTCAGTGTACTGAATTTGAAGCTTCTGCAGTTCAAACTTGGTGTCTCGTTGTTCCATGATAGTTTTTTCTAGTTCTGTTCGAACACGATCTATTTCTTCCTTCGACTCAGCTCTTTCCACTTCTAAGTATTCGTTTTCTTCTTGCAGTCTGTTTATGATTGCCTTGTATTCAACCAACTTTCGTATCTGCTCTTCATAATAATTTTGCTGCTGTATGAGTTTCTTCTGCAGGTTGTTGATATCCTCTCTGAGTGTGTCATTCCGGGCTTTTATCTGATCGAGAGATCCCTTTAGCTGTGCATTCTCCTTCATCTGGTTCTGTTGCTCCTCTTCTAGAGAGATTATCTTGCTCTCCAACGTCTTCACAATTCGCTGAAGCTCTATCTTAGCGTTATTAGCAGACTTGTAAGCTGATTCCCAGTCGGCCATCTTCTTAAGTGCCTCTAAGAGCTCTTTCTGTTGGGCACTCAGTTGATCTTGACTTGCTTGTAACATAGTCTCAGCCTGAGCAGTCTTCTGTTGACTAGCCAGGAGGTCTTCCTGCAAATCTTTGAACTTTTCTTCTAAAGACGTTTTATAGGCTTCCAAACGAAACACTTTGTTCTTAGAGGACTGAAGCTCTTGTTCCGAAGTGACCAATTTCTTGCGCAATGTTTTGTAGTCTCCTTCGTCCACTACATCTCGTCCATGAAGCTCTGAAAGGCTGTCTTCGAGATCAGATATCCTTTTTATCTTCAAAGATAGCTCATGCTCCAAAGACTGGATTATTCGACTGGAATCTCCTTGCTCCAGTTCAAGTTTGGATATTTTTCTTCTCCCATCAAGGTACCTTCTCTCTGCGTCTTCTTTCTCGTTCAAAACCCTCTGGTACGACTCCTCCAAGTCCTTTAGTCGCTTCAGTGTTGCTGCGTCTGTTGGTTTCTTGTCTCTCTTGTCTAACTGTGTTGTTTGTATGTTGACGTATTTCTTGTTAATCAAGGTGACGTCAGTTTGCAGTCGATCTCGATCAGACTGGAGAGCATTGAGGCGAGCTCTCAACTCAGAGTTCTCATTCTTTAAATCCATTATTTCTTTCTTCAAACGGTCTTTTTCGTCTTCCACAGTTTTATTTCGAGCCTCGAGGGATGTTAGTTTTCGGTTGAGGGAAAGGATATCGCTCTGGAGTCTGTCAACTTCTCTTCTGTTATTCGCTAAGTTTGTCTTATACTCATTGAAAGTTGTCAATAGCGTTGTCTTTTCTTGCTTGAGTTTGTTTTTCTCGTTATCGGAGAGGTCCAAGCTGTGTTGTAGACTATCGATTTTGGACTCGAGCTCTTGCACTTTCAATGTGAGAACTGTTACTTCGTTTTGAGCTTTGTCATAATCTTCCCTGAAGGTTGCTATCTTCCTTTTCAGGTTTGTCACTTCTTGCTCCAAATTCTTGGTCGTAGATTGGTACCATTCAAGTTGCTTGTTCTTATCTTCTATAGTCTTGTCAAAATTATCCACAGTGACTCTGAGCTCAGAAATCTCTCTCTGAAGAGTAGCGTTCTCGTTTCGCTGCTTATCCAACACCCCCCTCACTTTCTCTAACTCTCCAAGCAGACTGTTTTTGTCCACGTTAAACCGATGGATATCACCTTCCAGTACGCTTATTCTTTTCTGGTCTTTTATTAATTCACGATTGAGGTCTTCGTTTTCGTGATCAAGAGCTTTAATTTTCATCTCAAGCTCTGTCATCTGCTTCCTCAGTGAGAAATTTTCCTTCTCCAAATCATCCTTCCTTCTTTGAGTTTTGTCTAGTGTTGTTTTGTTAGTTGCTATTTCTTGCCTGAGTATGTGAACCTCTTTTTGAAGCGAGTCTCTCTCTGACTTGATGCTGTCTTTGGGCTGAGCATCGGTGTTGTCACCTCGGGTCACCCACTCCTGGAGCTGACGTTCAGCGTTCAGCAGCTGTGTCTCATTCTGAGAAACAATGGTGACATGTTCCTCCAACTGTACCTCCATCGCCGCTCTTTCCTTGTTCGCGACGTCAAGGTCCTTCTTCAGTCGTGAAATCTCCTTGGTTTTCTCCTCCATTTCTTTGGTCACAACCATCAGTTCTCTTACTGAACGGTCGCGGTCATTCACGAGATCGGTAATCTCCTCTTTCAAGGAAGTCACGTCCTGCTCCAACACCATTATTCTCTCGCTTTGAATCTCGTTTGTTGATTCCAATTTTGAAAGCTGGGCGTGGTAGTTCTTTACTTTGTCGAGCAGATCCCTCTCTTTCTCTTTATAAGCACTTATCTCACTTTCAGCGTCGACGAGACGCCTTTGCAAATCATCCACTTCGGCCGTGAGCCTTCTAACTTCTCCCTTACTGGTTTCAAATGTCTCTTCCATCAAAGTAGTTTTTTCGTGTATAAGCTTGTAGTTGTTCTCGACATCACCCTTGTCTCTCAAAACGACATTATGATCATTCTGTAACGCTCGCAGTGCTTTCCTCAACTCGTCTATTTCAACCTCTAAGGTCTTCTTAATATCCCTTAGTTGTTTAATGAGCTTGTTTTTGTCTTCCATATCTTTCTCTAAGTAGTCATATTTAGATTGAAGTTCGCTTACGGTCTTTTGTTGAATCATGTTTTCCTCTCGACTTTCATTCAGCGATTCCCTCAGCTCGGCGATCTTTTCTTTATTGGCTTCATCAGACCGAGTAACTTGCGCTAGCTGCTCCTCTAGGGAAGCGAACTTCTTTAGTTGGTTATCAAAATCGCTTTGAAGGCGCTCTTTCTCCAGCGTCAATTTTCGAACGTCGCCATGAAGCTCATTGATGTCTTTATTGAGTTCGATATTTTCTGCTTGTAAGTTGCTAACTTCGTCCTTGAGCTTTTCAAAGTCTTCCTCAGTGGCCTTTAGAATACCCTTCACACTCTCTAACTGGTCTTCTAGATAATTTCTCGCCGACTCTAGTTGCCTAATTAGGTTTTCTTTCTCGTTCATCCTGTCTTGAGCGGTCTCTGCCATCAACTTCAATTCAACCAGCTGTTGTTCTTGCTTTAGGTAATCTTCTCGACTCACCCCAGAAGATCTCTGAAGTGCGCCCTCTAGCTGTTTCTTTAAAGAAGTGATTTCCTTGTCATCGTACTCGGACTTCAGTTCTAACTCTGATACTCTGGTATTGGCACTTACAAGTTCTTCTTTCAAATCAGATTTTTCTCGATCGATTCTCTCTCGCATTTTCTTTAGCTCATTCACTGTCCTCTGGAGTTGGGAAGTCTCGTGCTCCAGGTCAAACACGCGCTTCTGTGAGTTCTTAAAATCCGTTTCAATCTTCAGGATCTTTGTATTACAGACTTCCACCTCACTTCTCAGGTCAGCTTCACGTCCTTGGGTGGTTTTGAACAAGTTTTCAACCTCGAATATTTTATCATCGTAGTTTTTACGTTCCTTTTCGTCTAGTTCACCGTTTCTTCCCAGTGTTGTTATGGTAACCTCCAGCTTTGAGATGTTCACGTTCGCTTGTTGAACCTGGCCTTGTAAATCTCTGATCCTCTCTTGACTGGAAATCCGAGTGGTCTCGAGTTCCCTCTTTAGATCTGCTAGTTCGTCGGTGAGATTCTTCTTGGAATTATTGAGAGTCTCTACTAAACTGGATTTTTCCTGAATTTCTTTAACGTGGCTGTTTACGAGTCTGTCTTTTTCTACTAAATCGTTCCGTACACTGAGAAGTTCCTCTTTCACTTTGCGGTGCTCGTCTCGAACGTTATCGCCATCTGCTTTGTAATGATCTCTCTCTTTGGTTACGCTAGTGAGCTGAGTTTCAAGGAGAGTGATCGTGTGATCTTTTGAACTAAACTCGCGTGAAAGCTCTTGGCGATTTTCTTTCAGTTTCCTAGTTTCCAATTCCATTTCGTCCAACCTTGCTTGCAAGTCTGCAATCCTTTTCAAAAGTTCCTGCTTTTCGGTCCGATGTATGTCACTTGTTGCAGTGTTCTTGTTTAGTTGTCGTTTGGTTCTTTCAAGTTCGTCTTGAAGTTGTCTAATCTTGTTATTCAGCTCATCGATTGTCTTGTCCTTTTTCCCGATAATGGTGTTAAGGGTTTCGCCAAACTTCTCGTGCTGCACTGACTTGCTTTCTATTTGAATGAAGCGCTCTTGGCCCTCGAGAATCTTCTTGTTGGCAGCGTCTAGTTGTTCTCGTAGTTGGGCTATTTGTCTACGGCGGGTCTCAAGTTGGGTTTCATGTTTTGATACCTTATTTTGGAGAATGTACAACTCCTTTTCAGCTCTATCTTTTTCATCTCTGGCGGCATCGAGGTCTTTTTCCACTTCCTTTAACTTGCTCTCTGTCGCCAACAGTTTTTGGTAGTCTTTGTTCTTCTCCTCCGTGATTTTCTCAATCTCGATATTAAGTGTGAGCATTTTTTCCTCAGCAACGTCCATGTCATTCTCTAACTTGTCAATCTCCCTTTGTCTGTTGTCAAGTTGGTTTTCCGACGATCTTACTTTGTCTGTGAGTTCTCTTATTTTCTTCTCAAGTTCTGCATTTTTCGCTTTTTCGTCTTCTAGAAGAGCCCCAGAATCTTTACCAAGTTCCTCGAATTGCATGTATGTGGACTCTAGGTTTGAAACTTTGCTTTGGATCACTTCGAAGTCGGTCTGAAGCAGCTGCTTACTTTGAGTCTCAGAGTCGTAGAGAGAAGACAACCGAGAGATTTCTTCTTTGGCGGCATCAAGCTCTTTCTGGAGTCTCTTGATTTCGTCTTTGAAAGTGTCATTCTCTGCTTTATGTCGGTTTGCTTCGGTGAGGATTTCATCCTTGCCAGCGGCTAAACTAGCCAATTCTGTTCGTAGTCGTTCTATCCTATAGTCTCTGTCCGAAATCTCTTTGTTGTAAGCATCAACTAACTTCGTCAGATGTGCAAGATCGTTTTTGAGAGACTCTATTTCGTCATCATTTCTGGCTTTTGTAGCTCGAAGCTCTTGCACCTCACTATTTAGAACAGAATTCTCCCTCTTCTCATTGCTGAGTTCTTCGTCGAGTTTCACGATCTTGTTCTCCAGTATCGTTAGTTGTTGTTCTAACTCGTTTCGATGTTGCTCCATGATGTTGAGATTAGACTGTAAATTTGACATGTCTTTGTACACTTTTTGTAGCTCTTCGTTGATTCTATCTCTTTCTTCCGCCGTGATCTTGTAATTGGCCTCAGAATTTCCCAATCTCTTTTGAAGCTCCATGATTTCAGATCGAAGCTCGTCACTTTCACTTTCCAACAGGTGAATTCGTCTTTCCAGTTTTTCGGCTTCTTCACGGTAGTCATCAACTTTCGTCTCAAGAGAAGATACTCGAGACTTGAGCTCCTCGATGGTTTTGTCTCTTTTCTCTATCTCTCCGTTTAGACGTTCGACGATGCGCCGGCTTTCAGACAACTCTTGCTGCACCACCATCAACTCCTTTTTCATCTGTGCTACTCTGGCCCTCTCAGTATCAAGCTCCAATTTAAATCTGTCTTTCGCTTTGGTAACGCTTTCTAGTTGAACTTCTAGTCTTGATATCTTGTTGCGGTCTGCAGCCACCATACGCTCAAGCTCTGTCTTCTCTTCTTGGACGCGTCGCATTGAGTCGGTCGTGGTTACCATCTTGGAGTTTAGACTTTCTACAACCTTTCTGAGCTCGTCTCGTTCTTTGATAACAATTTCGTATCGTCCTTGAAGATCGTTTACCGACATGACAGACTCGTTTAGCCTTGACTGAAGATCGTCCATTTTGCTATAAAGTTGCCCGTCAACTTGGTCAGGTATTTTCTCTTTCCTTACCTCCAGTTCCGTCTGCAGCTCATCTACCCTCTTCCGCAGTTGCACCTCAACCGACTCCCATTCCTTTACGCGCTCCTGAAGCTTGCCTTGTGATGCCTCAAGACTGGAAAATTTACCAGTCATCAGAACAAGCTCCCGTTCGATGGCTGCCTTCTCGTCTTGTAGACTCTTCACTGCAACGTCATACTTTGTAATGGTCTTCTCGCGCGATGCAATCGTCTCCTGTAATGTCAGCATTTGCTGATTTTGAACATCTACCGTTGCTTGACACTTCGACAACTCATTTTTCAGGGCCTCTAAACTCTCTTCGAGGGTGTTGTTCTGGTTTTGAAGAGTTTCTACCTTGTGGGTTTTCAAAATGGACTCTTCTTTGTACTTGTTAGCGTCATTCTGGTTTTGCAATACCTCACGCTGTAATCTGGAAATTGTCTCTTTGGCCTTTTTGAGTTCTTCGCCGAGATCGTTAAGCTGTTGCTTGAAAGACTCTCTTTGTTTAACAGCGGTCTGAACCTGCATCTCGTACCTACTGATTGTCAAATTGCCTGTCTTCCCCACCATTTCCGATTGTCTGCGGTATCTATCGCAATCAGCCTGCAGTTGGGTAAACTTCGATTGCAGCGTGGACAGCTCGTTCTGCAGCATCTCTCTCTCGTCCGTAGCATTCTTACATTCGACTTCCAGTTGAGAGATCGTTTCCTGCAGGAAAGACACCTCCATGTCGGGCGATGATTCCAGAACCTGCACCTGGGACCCTTGACTTATCATCTGGTCACGTAGCATTGCGAGCTCTTTCTCGATCACGTCCTTCTCACTTCGCAACTTCTCCATGGCGTCAGTTTTGGTGTTAAACTCGCGACGTTGGGACTCCAATTCCCATTCCCTTTGACGCAGCTTGCGTTGCATGATGGACAGTTCTTCATGCTGTTTGTTGTATTTCGATTTGAATTCGAGCAGTTGCTCTTGGAGCTGATGGTTTTGTCGATTGAGGTTTTCGAACTTCGAATTCCATCGTTCCGTCTGAAAACAAGTGAAATAAAAACTGCAATGTGAACAGAACTGAAATATACCTGGATGAAAGTAAGATAAGCAGACTTAAATGTAATCTGCTCGCCTTACATTTATTGCAATAGTAACTGTTTTTCTTTTAGCCTCAAACCCATATTAGTTGGCGGCATGTATATTTTGCTGCAAAAAAAGGCGTTCTCGGGTTATCTCATCGTCTTATTTCAGCTGATGTGAGTGCTTGTGAGGAGCATTGAAGCCAAAAGCCATCCTCTAAAAGCATGTAGTTAAACTCAACTGCGAAACCCACAAGCTGACCGTAGAATCCGAACACACCCTCCTCATACCCCTGTAGACACCCACTGTCTCTATGGTAACGAGAGATTAATCAGTGACCCACCGTGAAGATAAGGGACGTTTGTATATTAGACATATCGTACAATAAAGAAGCTACGTGGAGGAAATAGACGTAACATTTCAATAGTTTAAAATGTCACTTGTAGCATTATTCACCTTTAATTTTAATTTAGTGTTAAAAAATTGCGATTAAACATTTCGTAAAGGCATATTAAAAATTTGTTGACGACGTTTGACGTTTGGCTAACGTCATTATCAAGTCAGAGAGTGAAAAATAACTGTTTAAATACTAAAAAGACAATGGGAAATGGAATGTTCTTTTAAACAAAGAGTTTTGCGCGAATGGAATCAGTGTGCGTGTTGAGACTAGGATTGCGTTGCTTGATGAAAAGTATCTCGTAGACAAGTCAGTCAAATTTTCCTTGGCATTTTTTTGGAATGCGGAATTGTTTTTTTTTTTAGGAGGCTGGTAACCCCATAGGCTGTCGAAAAGTGTTTTAACCGATCGCAGAGTTTTAATGTCCAGCAATACGTTCATGGAGGTGTCGAGCTGTAAAGCCGACATAATCTGAATCACACAGAGCACATGTAACAGATTAAACAACGTATTGTTGATTTACGATTGTAGGCTTTATTTCTCTTGGCTCGAGGTCTTGTTCCGATTTTCTGCTAATAAACATGGGTTGTAGTGTAGTGCCAATTTTGTGATTTAGACTACGGATTTGCCTTTTAATTGCTTTAAAAAAATTATTTTAAAAATTTTTGATTACATTAAAAAAAATATTGAAAAAATTTTTAATGTAGTCATAAGGTAAATGCGCGATCCCAGTCACAAGAATGGCACCACAATACAACCCGTGTTTATCGGCAGAAAATTGGAACAAGACCTCAAGATCGATAAACACTTTTCGACAGCCTATGGGGATACAAGCCTCCTCAAAGAAAACCAATTCCACATTCTAAAAAGGTGCCAGGAAAAATTTGTCTGTCTTGTCTACGAGATGCTTTTCATCAAGCAGCGCAATCCTAGTCTCAACACGCACGCTGATGCCATTCGCGCAAAACTCTTTGTTTAAAAGAACATTCCATTACCTATTGTCTTATTAGTATTTAAAAATTTGTTATTTTTCTCTCTCTGACTTGATAATAACGTTAGCCAAACGTCAAAACGTTGTCAAAAAATTCTAAAATGCTTTTACGAAATGTTTCATCGCAATTACTATCGTTAAAAATGTTTTAAAAAAACCGCTTCTTTTTCGAAATTTTAATTTGCTTAATGATTTCTTGTCTGGTCACGTCTGAATTTATTTATTTAAATACCTTACCATACATCTTTAAGAAAATAAGAAAATGCTAAGAACGTTTTCGGATGCAAATGGTAAAAAAAAAAAAATGTGGTGACTGCGAGTTGCGTTACGCAAGTTTCTGTTTTCCGGTGATATTCCGTCAAATTCCCCCGTTTGAACCTTGAGTCCTTTGATATATGAGACGAGTAGTGGGAGTGTGTGAGAGTAGAGAGGGAGAGAGTTCAATAAAGAAATGTGACAGCTAGGCTTCATGCTGTGCTATTAAAACTGTCAAGATCAAGAAATTGTGAGTTTCTTTGTTGGCGAAAACCGATTCTCGACAAAAAAAAAACTAGAACCTTCAGCCTCAGCTTTAACATTAGAAGTTATTACTTGAAAAAAAGAACTACTCGGTATCGAGGAAAGTTCTGCTTTGGGTTTTCTTTGCACTTAAATCAAAGAATCTCACGAAATCAATTAAACATCAATATTTGCATACTTCTCACGTCAATTTTGGACAGCTTTTAATATCCAAGGAAGAAAACCCTCCCTTGCAACAATTTACAATTGTTACAGTATCACTTTTTTGGGAATGTAGTATACTCATAGAAGCCACAAGCATAACTTTCCACTCGTTATTTCAAAAGGAATGAGTCACCTTTGCTCATTATGAGGGAACATTTGCAGTTGAAAAAAAAAAAAGAAAAAAAAAAAACACAGGTTGACATCTTCATCACCTGCTGAGTGAACAACGGGACGACTTAATCAAAGGGCAGCTAAATTGTTCCAACGAAGCAAATCGAAAGCGTTTTCTCAGTTTTGTTCAATATAGTGAATTAGCGGTATGCTATCACTGACACAGCTTAGCAACTAATTATGCTAATTAATACAGAACTAATTCTTCCTTACAGTTGTTATTGATACGTGATTTAAAAAAAGGAGCCAGGTATGGATTAACCTCCAATGAGCAGATGTTTCCTCGAAATCTTGGAATGTTTCCGTTAACAAGAACAATTTAGCATAACCTTCCCACGCAAAATGTCACTCTAATCCTTTGTGGATTAACTTCCTTTAAACGTCAAAAGGGCGTTCGAGTAACCTATTGTTTACAATTAGATTAACCTGGTTGAATTTGCAGCGATCAAAGACATCAGTTCATGCTTTAACAGGTAACATTTCCCCGTGTTAAACATCTATACGTCTCAGTTTAATTTCCTTAACTGTACAGGAACATCTGCGTACAGTTATAAGCTGTGATATTTTTTATATTAATATCTTAACGTAAGTGATGCTTCTTGTTATTCAACTCACACTTTGAGGTTAAAATTAGGCTCAACATTGGAAAGAGATTGAATGTAATCACGCCTTCAAAGCATTCTTGCGTAACATTATGACATCGATAGTTTGGAAAATTCGCGAAGCGCTTTGATCGAAAGAGTTCATTAAAGATACCTGTTACGTAAACTTAGCAGAAAATTTTTGAAAATCAAACTTCACCAAAACACATTTCAGCAGGAAGCCACTTAAAATAGGGTCAATGTATGGGATCGAAGTCGACCACTGTTAGACAATTGTTGGATGTCTTGTGATCATGATCATCGCTTCTTTTCACGGATATTCTGAACTGATCATTTATTCTATACATTACAACAGAATAATTCTTTAAAGCGTGCAGTTTAAAATTTTTTCTCTGTACCCTAGCGTAAGTGATATTAGCGTTAACTGAAATGGATCTTTGTAAACTTCGTATTGACTCAGCGGGTTCCCTTGTTTCTTGCTCGTGTAAAACTCAAATATAAGTCAAGTTTGAAATTAAAGAGGAGAGAGTCCAGAAATATTCTTTTCGTAGGTCGCAATACTGCTTCTAGAATTCCAAATTTGTTTAAATAGTTCAATTAACACCTAATTATTAGTTCAATATCTTTTTATATGATATTGTAAATGTTCCATTTCAAGGAATACCTACAGAGATCTGTATATTAGTCTGGCGAAATTTTAGTACCGTAAATAATTTATAAAGTTGTTTTACTCGAAAGCCGAAATCTGGCAAGCATAATAATTTGGGTCAAAAGAATACGTGATTTAAATTCTGTACTGAAGAGGGGGCTTTAATAGTCTTAAAATAATTTAAGGAAACTGTAAATCCCTTATAAAGTTTAGCAGGAGTAAAGTAAACATTCGAGTGACAGACACGATCAGTTACTCGTAACGAATTTTCTTGTCAATGTTGAGCAACTTTGAATTATCGTGCCTTCTTCGTTGTCAGAAGGTGATAAAGAATTTAAAATGACCTTCCTTTATGAGTAACGAATGATGTGAAGTTAAATAAAAACTTTATGGAATTAGTTTACGTGCGATATACTAATGAAAGTTACACCGTTCTAGCATGACCACTTCAAAAAGGTTTGACAAGAGCGGTTTTGGGGCTTGATATCAAAGGTTAACCAAAGGAAAATAGCAATGATTTACCTCGTTACGCCGCTCGGTTTTCATGATATCCACTTGAAGTAAGAGTTTTCTGTAGGCGGCCTCAAGCGCAGTGAAGGTATCTTTCGCTTCGTCGTAATGTTGCAGAGCCACATCATCGTTGTCGAAGAATCCACGCGAAATTTTCGAAACTCGTGTGTAGGAATACACATCATCTCCGAACTTGGTTTTACTCGTAGTTTCGGTACTGTCACTCTTGTAAGTTTCTGTCTGCTCTGTTGAGCCAGACGGGCTCGAGAGAGTATTTTTCTTCGTGCTCATGTTCAATGGACGTCGCTTAGCCGTCGGGTACAGTAGATGGTAGTGTTACTAGCTGCCAGTCATGGAGGCATACAACAGATCAAGCCTGCAATCGATGAAAGTGGTATTAAACTTCAACCTCTTGCCTAATTTATGTCAGAAACAATATTACCAAGCACGAAAATTTTATGCAAATGCATATTGTCGGTTCTCTCAGCAAAAAGCACTGTCAAACATTTACCAATATGCAAATAGCTACGCCAGTGTTCGCTTCACTGATTTTGTTGGGTGTGTGAGTGTCTGCTAGAAGACCACAAACATGTTTAAAAACTGGAAATATCTGCTGCGGTAATGGAAACTTTTTTGCTACTGAACTACATACTGACAAAATTAAACAACCTTTGTACTCTTTAGCCTTTACTTGAGGCAGAAAGGATGAGTCAGACGGTCGAGTGTCAAACAGTCGAAGAGACATACTTTTCAGCCAATATTTATCAGTCCGAACAGGAATCAAATATCACAAAAACAAACTTTATAATCTTTTATCTGAAGAATGCTACATGGCTGAGCTGCTTGTTCGAAGGTAGCTGTCAAGCGCACTTAATGACTAGAACGAGCTTGATCAGATAGAACGATTGATCTTGCTGCATGAATCTGACCGCAGAGTGCATTGTTTTTGGTGAATTTGTCACCTAATAGCTTGATACAGAGATCTAGTAAACTTAACTTCATACCAAATTGTGTTCAGAGATCAGAGCTGAATCAAGAAAGCGGAAATAGGAAGAATTTCTCAGAAGGAAAAGCAAAATTTGGAAGGAAATACAAATTGTTCGCGTCCAAACACACTCAAGCATGTAACAGGAAAACACCGCCCCTTCTAGTACATTGGAGAAGGAAACAGGCCAAGGAGGTTTAAACAAGCTTAGTAAGCTTTTTTTATTGATACGGCGCCAGTTTGAATTCTGTGGTTGATAATTGAGCCACGTGTTTACATAGAGGTGTTCATCAAAGTTTCCTACGCGTCCTTCTCAACAATCGTTATAGCTTCATTCAGGTTAAAATCACCTCGGGTCAAACGCCCAAGTTTCCTTTTTTTTCATTCCCGTTAAAAGGAACTAAAAGAAAAGACCTCACTCTTGAGCAATACAAAAAAACACGAGTTGTTTCTGCTCCTGGATACTAAGAATAAAATCGGCAGAGACACTTTGAAAAAGATATTGTACCCTGTTCCATTTCACGCGAGGAAGTTATGGAAGGAAACGTGATATTGGTGTTTGATACTTATTTGGAAAGGTGGTCTTGAAGCTCAGGTCGTTTAAAATTCTGTTGGTTTTATTACCTTAGTGAGCGAGATACTCAAATGTTTAGCTTTATTAAATATGAAACGACACTATTAAATTGCAGAGATTTGTGAAAGACGCTGACAGACTAACTTGGAAACACGTATTCCAGAAAATTCAATTTTGTTCTACATAGATTATTAGTTTCCTTTGTAAATTCGTCGAAGACATTGTGGAAATAAAATAGCATTTATGGATTAATTACCTTATAAATTTAGTGAGCTAACATTTACACAGAGGAGGTCTTAGACAACTTTAAAATGCAAGAATCGTTGTGATATTAGTACACTGCAAAATTGATCATTGTTGAAACTTGCACTCAAGTTTTTCGAAGTTAAAAAACACGAAGTCGACGAGATATTTTTAAATAATTAAACTTACCCCACATTATGAGGCCAACATCTGTGCACTTAAAATCTACATGGATAGGTTAGCGGTTTTGGAATTGGCTTCCGTGACACAGATAGCGGTTGAGAAGAAACATGTATATCTGCCTTTAAATGTTCTTGGAAAATATATCCCTTTTCTTGAGTAAAAAGGAAAAAATTTTAGAGCCGATATCTCTGACCTTATTAGTACTTTTCGACGAGCTGTCACGGTTCGAAAAGTCATTAAAAATTCAGATATTTCGTGATGTGATCCCATCACACCACTAGATATTTATGAAAGTTTAGAGATCTCTTTTCGAATTATTTCCACAGGGAGTCGAAATCTGCAGGACGTCGGTCTTTGATTTTTTATTTTTCATGTTTATCTCACGTTCTATGTGACATAACCGTGTTAATCCTCCCAATATATTGTTCATTAGATGATGGTAATTATACAATATCATGACAAAAGCGTCTTTAGCGGCCCTAAGCTTGTAACAACAAGAACCATGATTAAACAAAACTCTTAAATGGTTCGAGCAAAACCCTAATTCGTAATTAAAATGCTCCCCTTCAATGCTAATAAAACTTTCAACTAAAAAGATCAGGAAATAAATTTAAAACACGATGCAGGTCCAAACCATTTGAGTAAATCTCGACTTTTGTCACGAACCGTTGGAGTGAATCCTAGTTCATTATCAATCATCGCCCGATAAGCAATCCTGAAAAATCTGGTCAAACTTAACAATTGCACAATTTTTTCTCTGTTCACAGAATAGGGTGTTCGACTTCCTCGTGGCGTTTATCGCAAAGCGTCATCATAACTTCAACTGTTTACGTTGGCCAGTGGGATCATGAAACAAATGTAGATGACTCGAAAACAAAATTTTTCCATCGTACCGTGTACTTACGTTGATAAGTATCGGCATCCGTTTCCTTGTTAAAAAAGAAGTAACAAACTCTTGTCTGGTGATATAGCGACCTTGGCAGCAATCTTACCCCACAGGAAATGCGGGGGAATCATGTGATTTCCATTTAAATTACGCGTCAAATAAATTAAAATAAATCATCTCTTCCCTTTACTAGTAGATTTGAAGTGTAACCCGAACGCAAACTTCAGAAAAAACAGACTTAGCCAAGACAAAACTCACAAAGAGAGGAAAGGTAGGTTTTGTGAAGTTTTCTCACGCGCGTAAATCCAAAAGAAAAGGTTAGTTCTAAAAATTTCCCACGGCCTTAGAAGTCTGCAAGCCATATTTGCATGGCAATTTACGGCTGTAAACAATAAAAGGTCACTGGGGTGTGCGATGAACGTGTGTTCGAGACAACACTTGAGCGATGAAATTCTAACGTAGAGTAAAATTTTTTCACACAATTTTAAGGCTAAAGTACACGAAAAGATATTCTCAGGCCCTAGCTGCAAATAAAGGACTTCACATCAAGGACACTTAAGTGATTCTTGATGATGGTTTTGCGTAATATTAGGAAAGCAGTGCTTATTGTCAGCATTTCACGGTTGAAAAGTTACGGACGTCTGATCATACCACTTCTTATAAACATAAAGTACATATCGTGCAGGGGCGTCTAAGGGTTGTGCTCAAGTCTGGCTGCACGAACACGTTAAACGAACGAATCGAGACAAGGAAGTAAAAAATAGCGGCTAGAATTAGCTCAACGTACCTTACAGTAGGCTTTACGCGCAAGGAGGCCAGAAGTTTCGTTTGCCCAATATTCGAACGCGCTCTGTTCATGAATAGAGGCTTCAGTAATATCTTGAGAAATGGCATGACCCCATTGTGCGTGTAAACAATTCCAATACAATTCGGCGAACCAGTTATATTCCATTAACTCCGCGTCCTGCCCAAATATAATAGGAAAGTTCTTGGTTAATGACAATTGGCTGCCTTTAATTTGACGTCAAAGCCCCAGTACTAGGCGTGTTGACAAGAGGCTTATAAAGAATGCAAACGCCTTTTTGACCACAAAACAACGCCAGACTGCACCGATTAAAGTACAGTGGCTGAGACAGGGAAAGCTCAGTAGCGACTCAAGGGTGTTGAACGTAAGTTTGCATCCTCCCTAAGGGCTGGTTTACCTCAGGAAAAAGAGTGCTACCCGAAAGAATTGCTGATATAAGATTATCTTTGAAATTGTAACAGGATTTCAGAAGCCTGTCCCTACTGTAATTATGTCCGAGATGGAGCAGACGCGTTTGGACTTTTCGTCCACTGGTAGTTCACCTTCTGTTCGCCGTACTGTTACCTACAAGGCATCCGACCTGGCTATGTCCTCCAAAGCAGGTGATATCACGATGCAACACATCTCTGAGGCAAAGGGTTACCTCAATGAGTTTGAGCAAATGTACCGTAAACACCGCGCTGAAATTGATAGCCTCAAGCGGGAACATACAAGCGAGGTGAGTTTACTGCTACTCATATGTGCACGGAAAAGACCCAGTTAGGTTTTTTATTTGTGGTATAATAGGATATTTTCAAACTCTTCAAAGAGCGTTTGTCGTTACTTGCGGGCAGTTCTCATCGTAAAATTTATTCCCTAGATATCTCGTCGGTAGACCGCACGGTAAACAGATTTAATCTTCCTGAATGTAGCCTGTTAGTAGTCAAATGGACATATGCAGATATTGGCTGTAACTACAATAAGAATGCAAATTGACTTCACTTGTCACACCCAGTCTGCGGGATAAACTTTAGCCGCACAACCAAGCGTTTGTTAAACTAACTACGGTGATCAACACATCCTTCGGACATTTTTCCTTTAAAGTTGTCGATGTTGTTAATTGATATTTCTACGCTTTGCCCACAAGTCGGTCGAATCAATATCTTCATTTCACGGTGGCGTTTCAAATTTGTCGACGTGTTGCAATTAAAATCTTGCGTAATAAATCACAGCGCCTCCTTACGTTATATAAGACACCAGCTATTTTCTTGAAGGTATTAATTTCGTCTGCAACTTTGCCACCTTTCTTCGAACTTTTTCGTTTCTCGGCAACGAAGTTGACCGTTGGTCTTCAAATGTTGAGTTAAAATTGGGGTTTTAGGTATCGCTAAGGAATTCCGAGAGCAGTCGTATTTGCTGGTTGCCTTCTGTTTGAAAAATCATTACAAATATTCCGCAGAGCGTACTGTACTCTCTGTTTGTACTTCTGCGTTATTTTGCATGATCAGGGAATATGGTTCTCCACTTAATTCGCTCTTATCCGTTACAGCGCCACGTCATTAAAAGCCACCGGGGAACCTTTGAAGACTCGTGATAGTAATTTAGTCTCCAGGAAAATGTTTGAAAAAAAAAAGTTAATACTTTTGTTGGAGAGATTGTTCTTATTCATAACCCCAAATGCTTTTGCATAAGTCACCCCTACTCTTCGTTTTTGGTAATTTTCCGACTAAATAAGACTGTGACTAGTTTTCATTTACACTTAAGGATTATAGTGTTTAGACATGTTTTATTACATGATACCTCACTCAAATTAATATTTCTGGCAAAACCTGTCTCTGTCCTATTCTTGTACTGGCGCCCTCGGCGTCGCTACGTCGTGTAATCTGTTTATCAAAACAAAGGGTGAAAAAGCAGTCACAATCGCTATAAAACAGAGAAATACTGACGAGGAATGATCTAGAGATTTATTTTGTTAATAATTTACAAATATGTCAGAATGAAGAGTCGACTTTTAGGGAAGAGCGCGGCAATCTTTTTCCTTTTCTAGTCTTGCCATAAAGGGGTGAAAATATGATATTAATTATAGATAAATACAAAAGTTCAACGGATTAACGTTGGGAAATTTAAAACATTTTTAAAGACACAAATAGAAACGGACCGCAGGCAACGTAAAGTGCAGTGAAATTTTCACAGCTATCGTTGTCACAAGCCAGCCGAAAGGTTGCGGTGGTAAAAAGCGTCGCAATGTTTGAATTATTGCAGAAGCTTACTCAAATCAAATACTAAACTTGAGAACGCATCAAACAAACGCTGAATTAAGTAATTACCGCACATGGTGTTGAAACTAGATATTAACATAACAGTCGGTCAGTTCCGCTCCATTTCATAAATTACTTAAACTAACAGAAACCAAATCTCTCTAGGAGCTTTATTTCAATGAAAATTCCCATAATATCAAAACGTTTGGAGAATTTGCAACTTAAATATTTCTTTTTCTCTTGAGCAAACTTTTAAGCGCTCTCGTTTGTCCCCCTGCAAATTCTCTTGTCTCGCAAGCCTGGTTTTCTCGGTATATTTTAGGTATATCTTAAAAGCATAACATTCTTTCTTTCACAATCAGTCTTTGATGCCATATCACCCAATTTTTGGGAAAGAATTTTTAGACGTCCAAACCCTACCTTAAACTTCAAGAGGACTACATTTTTTTCTTGTTTTAAAGTAAGCTCTGCTAGATCGAAACACTGAAGGGGCCTGTAGAAACCAACATATGGGGAAAATGTCAGAGGATGGGGAAGATTGTTGATAATTTGTACTTTTAAGTGACCATGATTTATCATGTCACGTAGCCACAGCTTTCATTTCCGTATCTTGCCCTTTTGTAATTTTCAGGAAATTTTTAACACTTGCGCGCAATACAGTTAAACAAATATCAGCTCTCTTGTTACTTTCACTTTCCTTTATTGGATTGTTTTCCTTGGAGCTGTCCAAACATTTTACTTAAAAAAAAAAGAGCGGGAGGTTAAGGGCGGCATTTTTTTTACGTTTGGCCTGTTGTTATCAATTTCCGAATCCATCAGGACATCCGACTAACTTTTCCCCGAAAAGCATAGGAACTGACCTATTCAAAACCTTTTTTAAAATGGCGACTGACCATTTAAAAAAGCTACATGATGTTTATTTTGAACGGCATTGAAATAGGCTTCATTTTCTCAGTTATTAATCAAATTTTTATTTAGACAGCTGTTGTTTTAGCTGAAAATCTCAAGAGTACGGCTTTAAGTATGGTTAGATGAGGTAACCTGCACTTACATGAAGAAGGCAGTACACCTTTTGTCGCCTGACCCACCCTGTACCCTGAGGTCGCTCTCAGAATGATTTTTTTTCTCGACGGAGAGTCTTCTCTTTGACAGTCGTTATTTTGTTCTTGTTGCGTGACGCCTTCACTCCCCCACCTGCAACGGCTGCGAAGGAGAGAGGCTCAAATAGACGAAAAACGAGCGGAAAGTCTATGCTCTCTCTTCAAAGAAAAAAAAACTTTCATTTAATTCTCAGGATACTTCGATCACACCTATTATGATATTTCTGCTAGGAAAAATTTTATTTTTAATCGCGTGCAATCCTGAAATGACTGTGATATGTGTATCATCATCTGCCGTGTTCTGTAGTGTCATGGCAATAACTGAAACAATAATGCGCTAGTGCCTGTAAGCCCAAAATCACTAAAGGAAAGAACTCGAATGTATATCAAGAGCGAACGTTGAACTAATACGATACTCTGAAACAAACAATAAGTAGCACCAGGAAACATCGGATCAAAATTGGGTCAAGATCCGAATTCTATTGTTACCATAACTCACTCACTCACTCATCTCGACGACATAAGTGGCTTCGCCTCCTATAGGTGGCAGTAGCCACAAAAACAGATCCATTCATTAATGACCTGACTGGTTTCTAATTTCAGGGCCAAAACGAAAGGGAGTCTTTGTAACAGCAACCGAATTATCATCACCTAGTAGTTATGTTAGTGAAATAATGACATTGGTAGACTTGTGGCAGTAAAGACTCGCTCTTCCTTCCCAATTACTCTATTTACCCAGCAGACTCGAAACTCCAGCCCGACTGAAAGGAATAGGAAACTTTGTAGCATAAGTTTAGGCATATCGTTTGTGTCTCTTTAGCACTGTGAAGCTCTCATTGCTGCTCAAGAAAATTTAACGGTCGAACTTCCTTTCCGGAAGTATATAATGCTCCGTTGCAAAAATGATTTCGTTTCTGTCAAGAAAATTGTTTGCAGAGTAAAATGAGGTTGTTATCAATTGCAATTAAAAAAAACAACAACATCAACAACAACACGAGTACACTGATGGCAGTCACTCACAAGATATCACGTTTGGGGTAGTAATACGATGTAGGATATAAAACTGTTTAAGTTTTAGCTTTAAGCCAACTTTTTTCTCTCTTTTTCTTTGTGTTGAAGGTTCAAACGCTGAGGTTAGATATCGAAAACCTAAAGCGCCAGAAAAGGCAGTTAGAAGAACAGTTGGCAGAGAGCAAGAGTGATAGGAATAGGCTCAATGAAGAACTCGTAGGTGTCAGGAAACGGCTTTTGAGCAGAGAGACTGAGCTGGAGGCACTCAAACGCGAGCTGTCGTCCAAGAACAACAGCATTTTGTCCCTAAAGGCTGATAAGTTAGCTTTGCAGAGGGAACTGGAGACGCTGAAGTCAGAGATGGTCGTCAGCCAGTCCGTCACCACCGTTCAAGAATCGGCTCCTATGGAGGAAGAATTCTTCAAGACGCAGATTACGGAGTACGAGGCCACCCTGAAGAGCTCCGCAGATGAGAAAGAAGGTCTGCAGGAAGAGATCTTGACCCTTCAGACAAAGCTTGCCAAGTTGCAAGGTGATTACGATAGAGCGATTCTCGACTTGGCAGCCACGAAGAAGGACTGTGACCTCAGGGTTAAAAAGTTTGAAGTTCAACTGCAAAATTCTCAGAAACAGCGAGATGATCTTAAAAGGCAGCTGGAAAAGTTACGTGACGATCTAAAGAAGAGCAGAGAGGCCTTGTCGAGTGCACAGACGGAGGCAGTGAACAACAAGAGGGTTGCCGACAGACTTCGGGATGAGGCAGAGGGAAAAAACAGGCAAATCCGCAACCTGGAACAGAAGAATGCCTCTCTTGAAGACCAAATTGAGCAACTCAAGCAAGAGCTATCTCAGAGCGAGATGAGTGCCGAGGTTGAAGCAAAACGCGCAAAGGACCTCGAGAACGAACTTCGCTCATCGGAGAGGCGGGTTGCTGAGCAGGAGGCCTCCATTGAAAGCCTACGAAGCACCAACGAAGATCTCCAGCGCGAGCTTGCTATTAGTAACAGTAGGGTGTCGACGCTTGAGAGTCAAAATGGTAAGATGTCAACCCGAGTCAGGGAACTGGAGAATGAATTGGTCCGTTGCCGTGCTCGCATTCATGACCTGGAGAGCGAATTTGAAAGCGTCAACACCAAGTGTGTTCAGCTCCAGTCATCATACGATTCTTCCGTGAGTGAGGTTGACGGACTAAGATCCAGGGTAGGAGGTCACCAGAGCAAGGTGAATGAGTTGGAGTCCCGCCACTCAGTAACTTCCAAAGAAAGAGACGACCTCAAGTTACGTATAGCTCCTTTGGAGAAGACGCTCGCTGAACTGAGATTGACTCTGGAAAGGAGTGAAAATACATGTGACGGACTTGAGCGAGAGATTGACATGTTGAAGGCTAAAAACTCAAACCTAGAAACACAGCTTGCCTCAGCCAACAAACTGAAGACTCAGCTAAGGGCAGATTTGGACGCAGAGAAGGACAAGAGCAATCAGCTTAGAAGAGAGATTACTGCTCTGCAAACCCAGCTGGGAGAAGCGCAACGTAACCTCGACAAGTTCAAAAATGACAATGTAAGGAAGCAAAAAGTCATTGATGACTTAAGGGACACAATCCGAGCACTTGAAGCAAAGATTCACGCGCAAGAAAATGACGTCAAGCAACTTGAAGTGCAAAAAGAGATGCTTGAAGATGAAAAGAGAGACATGCACGATGAGCTCTTGGATAATAATAGGAAACTTGCCGAGCGCGAGGAGAATCTTAAGCAAGCCCAAGACATGTTAGATAACGTTGAAAGTGAACTCATCGACTCACAGAAGACTAACGAGAAATTGGAAAACGCCTTAGAGAACACCGAAAAAGAAAAGAGAGACTTTGAGAATCGAGTTCTCCAACTCCAGCAGAACCTGACACGCGTAGAAGCAGAACTTCGTGATGCCCTCAGTAAGAAAGCTGTCCTCGAAGAAGATGCTAAACAACACAGTGCCGTTGTTTCCAAACTTAATGACGAGGTAGATCGTCTTAAAGGGCTCCTTGCTGAAGCACAACGTCAAATTGATGCTTACCGCAGAGAGAGTGACAACAAAGATGCTACCATCACGACCTTGAAATCTCAGATCAGTGATCTGGACAAAGAAAATGATGATTTAAGGGCGGAGCTTTCTAAAGTGAAAACGCAGCTTGCTGCAGTGCAAGAGGAGAAGAGGAAACTTCAGATTGAATACAATTCAAAGGACGAAGAAATCAACCGACTGACCGGAGAAATCGACATTACGGTCAAACGAAATGAAGAGTTACAGAGCGAATGTATCGTGGTGGCCGACAAAGTGCAAACTGTCGAGTCCAGTTACCAAGACTTTATGAGTTTGGCTGGCGAACAAGATGGTTTGCTTGAGGGAGAAAAAGAAAAGAACGCACAGCTGAAAAAGGAAAACGAATCCGTGAAGCTGAAGATTACATTGCTAGAGAAGAAGGATCGTTCGAAAGAAGTTGATCAACTGAGGGCGGACCTCGATGCTGCCAATGAAGAAATTGCTAAGTTGCAGGATCGTATTCAGCAACTAACAGGCGAGAAAGATGACCTATCCCGTGACATCCTCGTAGTCCAAAGTAACCTTTCGCAGAAGGAGAATGATCTCGAAGCAGCCGAGAAGGACAAAGAGAAAGCCGAAGATGATGTGCACATAGCTCAAGGAAAGATTGACAGCCTAGAAAGTCAACTGGCCGCGCTACGCAAGCAGAAAGGTCAACTGAAAGACAACTTGAAGGACGCTAACAACAAGATCATCAAAGCTAAAGAGGAAAGTAATGACCTTCAAGCTAAAGTGAGCCAACAGGAGAAGATCATTGAGGGTTTGAAAAACGCAAACGCCAAGAAGGACAACATCATTCGCGAACTTAATGACAAAAAAATTAAGAAGTTGCAAAATGAATTGGCTGATGCTAAGAGAGAAGTGACTGCCGCCAACCTAACTGCCGAGGGCCTTAGATCTGACAAGAAGGATCTAGAGCGCAAACTGGCTGATCAAATTAAGCGTTACGAGGCGTTAGTGAGTGAGATTAAAGATCTCAAGGCACAGAGAAATTCTATGGAAACCGACCTCAGTAATAAGACGCATAAGCTGGCTCTCATTGAATCTCAACTGAACAGCATTAAAAAGGAGCGAGATAACATGAAGGAGGAAGTCAAAGACCTTAAGGACCGTTTGAAGAACCGCAACGAGGAAAATCTGTCCTTGCAAACAGAGCTCCGTCACCTAGAAAAGGAGTTAGAATACAAGATCAAAGATAATCAAGACAAAGATGCTGTTATCGAGCGCCTGAAAGCAGCGAAAGCTGTAGTTGACGAAGACCTCCTTAACTTGAAGAAAGAACTGATGAAAACTCAAAACCTCCTTGATGTTGCTGAAAACAAGACCAAAGCTTTGGAAAACAGCCAGAGGCAAACCAACCTCAGCATGAACAAGCTAGAGGTAACCATTCAAAACTTAAATAGGGAGCGAGAGGAAAGAGATCGGGTCGGTTCCAGCCACGACAGCCAATATATTGAAATTGATACTCTGTACAAGGCCTCTCAAGACCGCGAGAATAGGACGAAGCGAGAACTCCAAGCTGTTAAAGCACGTTTGGAAAAGGTGGAGACAGACTATCACAAAATCCAACAAGAAAGCGTAGATCGTCGGGCTAAACTTAACGCCTTAGAAAAGAAAGTCCGTGACTTACTAGCTGCGAACGACCGCAAGGACAAAGAGAAGCAGGCCATCCGGTCAGATCTGGAAGCTGCTTCCAACCAAGTGGCAGATCTTGAAGTAGCATATGACAATGAGGCCAAAGAGAAGGACTCATTCAAGAAGCAGCTAGATGACGCTCTAGAAAAGCTAGCAAAGGCGAGAAAGCAGAATCTCGAACTCGAACAGGCAATCGTTGAAAACAAGATACAGCTTGAAGAAGCTGAAAAAGAAATGATGGAGAAGGATAACGCTATCAAGAACTTAGGAAGTAGCAAAGAATTCTTGGAAGGTCAACTTGATGCTGCGAAGTCCGGTCTAGAGAAAGCTCAACAAGAAATCGATGACCTGAAATCTGAAGCTGCCTCTAAACAGAACGAAATCCTGGAATTGCACAACAAGATTAATGAGTTGGAGGCTCGGATAGTGAAACTTACAGGTGAGAGAGACAGAGCTCTCGATGATACCGCGATCAATGCCGACAAAATTGCCAATCTAGAACAGCAAATAAGAGAGTTGGTCAGCGAGAGGACAAAGCTTTCAGAAAGGATAGAAGATTTAAAGAAAGAGATTAATACCCTAAGGGAGGAGCGAATGGAGGTCGACAAGCAGCTCACTGACCTGCAGGGCAATATCAGCTTCTTAACAAGAGAGGTCGAGAACAGGGACAAAGTCATTGCTGACTTAAGGAATAAGGAAGAGCTCCAAGAAAAGGAGATTGACAATCTTAGGAAAAATCTGCGCCGCCTGGAAAGTGAAAATGAATCAGCCCTCCAGAAAATCAGTCAACTGGAGAAAGCATACGAGTCTTCTACTCAAAAAACGATAATGATCGAGAGCAAGAGTGATAGCCACCGTGACAAGGCTAAGCGGCTCGATGAAGAAAATGTTTCCTTGAAGCGAAAAATCGCAGAATTGGAAATAACTTACAACGTCAACGAAGAGAAATGCCAAGAACTGCAAGATAAACTCCTTCGAGCCCAAGAAACAATTGGAAATCTGGAGTCTGCACCACCTATGGAGTCTTCGATAGTGGTGGAAACAGAAAGAAGCATACAAACAGCACCAGGAGACGGAATCGAGATTCAATTTCTGAAGGGGGATTTGGAGAATTTGAAAGATAAAAATGCCCAGCTAGAGAAAAAACTGCAACAGGCAACAGACTCGGAATCGAATCTAAAAGCGCAAATGGCTAAGCAAGACAAGACTTTGAAGGATAACGAGGATACGATTTTGGACCTCGAAAGACGCATTCAGGAGCTTACCATTCGCCTTAAGAAAACTGATGAGACAGACGCTCCTGGGATTGTTTCTTCTTTACGCAATCAAAAAGACACCTTGGAACGCGATAATGAAAGAATGAAGAAGGAGCTTGAAGCTGTCAAAGCAAGTCAGGTGGATACCCAAAAACGTCGCGCCTACGTTGAGAACCAGCTTCATCAAATTCAGAGGAAGTTAAACGAGGTTGAGTTTAAGTTCAATATGGCTAATACTCAAAATGAAAATCTCCACCAGGAGCTGTTAAGAGCACAAGAGAAGAACCGCGCTATCGAAGCTGAACGAGATTCTGCATTGCAAGAGCAGGCCAACCTTCGCGGCGATTTACAGGAGACAAAGGAGCGTTTGAAAAGAGCCAAAGTTGAGCAAGACAACTTAACAATGCAGAAACGCGACCTTACAGGGGAGATGCAGGCTGTGAAGTGTGATCGAGACGATAAAGAGAGTACGATCAACTGGCATATCGGCAACGAACGCCAGCTAAAGGATGAAATAGCCTCGTTGAAGAGAAAACTGGACAACATGAGAGACGCAAATGATAAACTTAGCCACACTGTGGACAACTTGAACGCCCAGAAACAAGAGAAAGAGGAAAAAATTGCTGACCTCGAGCACCACATGACTCTCCTTCGGGATGCGGAAGAAAAACTGCGAAAAGATTTGAGCACTGCAAATACTAATGCGGCAGACTTTAAAAAGAAGTACTTCAACGCACTCAAAGACATTGAAAGGTTGCAAACTGAACTCAACACGAAGATTCAGAGGATAGGATCTCTCGAGAATCGCATCAAGTCTCTGGAAAATGCCAAAAGTACGTTGCGAAATGAAATCACTGTTCACAAAAGCACGATTTCCGATCAGAAAGTTAAACTTGAAGCTTCTCGCCGATCCGACCGCATTCCTACAGAGATAACCGTAAAGAAGGTCGTTGGTTCTAGCCTTCAGTCAGCTCCAGACATGTTCCAGTTCAAAGATGACTCCGTGCCAAGTAAGAAATACAAAGACCTAGAAACATCATACAAGAAAGTTCTTAGAGAGAAAGAAGATGGAGAGAAAGATGCTACAACGTTGAAAAACAGGCTTGCCAAGCTACAGAGTGAACTTGACGAAACCAACAGGGTCAAAAACGCAGTCGAAGGCGATTCCATGTGGAAAGCTAAAAGAATAGGCCAACTAGATAGCGAGCTGAACGATCTACAATCTAAGGACATGGTTGATTCTGATGAGGCTCTGGGATGGAAGAACAAGATACCTCATTTGGAGCAGGAAGTACAGGCAGCTAACAACAAGATAGTCCGTCTCGAAGCCGAGATTGAAACTTATGAAAAAATGATCAAAGACTACAGTGATGACTTGATTAAAGCAAAAGAGAGAGTGGCCCAGCTGGAGTCTAAACTTGAAGGCGACCAGGAAAAAATTGAAGAGCAGCGTAAGGAGTTGATGGAGGCTTATAAGAAGGAAGCAGACCTTGAGGCAGCCCCAAAATCCTATCATAATAGCAAGTCTGAACTCAATGGTGTGATAATGACCTTGCGCGATAAGATCGGAGTTCTGGAAAATGAACTCCAGAAAGAAGCCAAGCAGCATGCTCATATGAGAGGCACTCATGACCAACTGAAGATAAGGGAAGATGACCTCAAGCGTAAAATTGCAAAGCTGCAGAAGCAATTGCGAGAAGGACAGCAGCAATACGACTCGCAGATTCATGATTGGTCAGAGAGAAAGTACACCATTGATGGTCTTAAAAAAGAAAATGCCGATTACATAGCCACAGTGGAAAAGCTGAGGCGAGAATTGGGCATGTATAAGAATGACCTGGACAACATGGCAATAGAGAAGCGTGAACTGCAGAATGAGTTGAACGAATTAACACCCAAGATGGAACAAATCGAATCTCGATTGCATAAAGCTTTTGAGGACAGGACCAGATTCCAAATCGAGCTGGACGATACCAAGAGGGCTCTGGACGAGGTTGGTAGACGCGAGCCTGAGGCGGTGATTCGTCAAGTATCTGGTGGTGGGTTAGAAGCAGGCGTAGACATGTTCCCTGAATTGACCAATGATCTTGAATCGACCAAGAAAGAACGCGATCGCCTTGCCAGTGATGTTTCCTCCTGGCAGAACAAGCACGACACCTTACAGAACAACTACGACAACTTATACGCCGACAAGAAGCACCTTGAGGAAAAACTGGATAGCATGCAGAAAACCATGAACCAACTTGATCACAACAATCAGACCCTCACTTCAGACAAGAATAGACAGACCGTTGAACTGGAATCAGCCAAACGTAAAATTGCTGATTTGCTGTCCGAGCTGGATGACGCGAAACGCGACAAGGATGCTATGAAGGTGGAGTATGAGATAATTCAGAAGAAGATCACGAAGTTCGAAGCTGAGTATGAAATCCACATCAAACACCGCCACGATTATGATGACTACGGCGCTTATGCCAAGCTAGAGGAAGCCTACAAACGCAGCCAGGAAAGGGAAAACGAAGTGCAAAAAGAGCTCTTGGTCTGTTATAAGACTATCGGAGATTTAAAACACCAGTTAGAAAACGCCCACGAGACCATTGAGAGGCTGACGGTTACTTACAACACTGAAACTATCAGGAGTGCGACTCTACGAGAGGAGGTTGTAAGTTACCAGAGACGACTCTCGGAGTTGGAAGAGAAATTTGAGATCAACCGAGGAGCTAATGAAGACATGGAGAATGAGTTGACCGTGTTACAGCAGCGAATGGAAGAGCTAAGTCGCGAGAACTCTTCCATTCAGGAGTCGAAGGCTCTGGTACTTGTTGAGGTTACCAACCAGCGCAACAAGATCGCGCGCCTTGAACAGCAGCTAGAAGATTGTGAGGGTGAAAAGAAGAGCCTCCGCCTTCAGTTGACAGCCATGCACAGCAAAGGTGATGCCGAAGCACATGAAATCAGCAAGCAGATTTCTCAGCTGTCGGAGCAAAGTCTAACATTCCAACGTGAAAAGGAGAATCTAGAAAGGAGGCTCTCTCAGAAGCATGCGGAAACCATTTCGCTGCAGCGCGAAAATGACGCTCTGAAGTCACAAGAGTACAGCTCGTCCACTCAAAAGCAAATCGAATCTTTCTTCGAGATGAGCGGTGATGCAGACTTCGGACCATCGGCCGAGTCGACCACATTTGAGTTCGACAATGAAGATTTCGAGGGAGGAGGAACAACTGTCACAACCCGTACTGTTAAGGTTAAGAGCTCCAAGAAAGCAAGATCCTAAAGAAACGAAGAACATTTTTTTTTTTAACAAAACAGCACATAGGGATGTAGATTTTGCTATCGAAGTAATTTATATAGACGTGTTAATTATTATTTTCTCTCGGAAATTTACAAAGTAAATTTCATCGTTGTTTTCGTTTTATTTCTATAAGCAGCTTGCATTTTGGTACTTCGTCGGGCTTGATTTCTTTCATAATGCACCCCGATCGATGGTTAAAAACTTTCTTTGAGAGCCGTAATTTTCATCTAACGTTGACGTTTTATGGTGTCATTGCATGAAACAGTGCAATACATCTACTTGTAGGTGGAGGACGTTTTGCGTTTAAGCTCAATGCTGCTATCATTATCGTTATTAAAGTTACGGCTTAGAAGCCTTTCGTTTATTTTCTTTAAGAAAAAAATAACTGCATCTCTAGGTTTTTTGCCTATGCAAGGAAAACTGTGTAGCAAGTCGCATTAGACTACTAAGACAGAGCTGATACTTAGTCATTGTAGGAGTACTTCACGTTTTATTGTAGAGAATTTGAAGGATATTGTTGCCAACAAAATAAGAAATAGTGTTAAATCTCTCTGAATCTTTCATTTTTTAATTTTTCATAGCTGGATTTTTATGTATTTGAATAAGCGCCTCCCCCGGATAAGCGTCGCGCCTGTTTTTATGAATGCCACGGCACTTAATCGAACTAATACGGTATTCGGGTGGAGAACAAAAAAACCTTCAACTTTATAGTTAACGTGTCTGGGTGTAATAGGTGTTTTTAAGCAATAATAAATGCATTTTAAATCATCAGCTCTCTTTTTTGTTAAATAATAATGCGATATTCACTTTGTTACACAAACTCATCAGCCAGAGAATGTGATCTCGAGATAACGCTTCGTTTCCTACACATACTCTCAAGAAAATTTAGGTTACAGAAGAGGATCTTCAATTCAGCCTTATTTTATTTTAGCCTCAATAAACTTTCGATAATTACTTAGTAAACGGTGGTTTTCCCTGAGTCACCTTTGTGGGCCATACTCTCCGGCTCCGGCATATTTTAAGGTGCGTGTTTCCAGTTCAAACCGAAATGAAAAGTTATGCAAAATTCTGGGCGTGCAGAAAGGGGGTTGTTTAAAATGTGGAAGTGAATAATAAGAAAAATGGTGAACTAAATTGGTGAGTTGAAATACAGTGCACTGCGATCGAGTGTCGAAAAACCAAAACCAAAAATATCAAAACAGCTAGTCAGAAGAAAGGAAAAAACATCAAGGAGCCGATGAGATCACAAGGTAAAAACAAACTAACAGCTTGAAGCGCGGGAAACATAAGTGATCAAGTTGCGAAGGTGTTAAAATTGGATCTCACTTTGTAAAGAGGACCAAAAGCAAAGCAATTTCGTGTTTGCTTCATTCATTTAAATGTTAGTTGTGGGCTGAGCACACGTTTGGTCCGCGCTTCTCATTTTGTGTAAGTGAAACATGACTACATGTAGTTGTGATCTTGTGAATATTCCAAGTTAGTCCAAGAGTGAGGGGTAGATTTATTCAAGCTCATTTCAACCGAGCTCTAAGCAGACCGAGTGTGCGAAGATAATTTCCACAGGCTTGCGACAAAGTGGTGTTTTCTGCGCGAAATAACTGATCAACGAAGAACACTCTGTGCAACACAGCAATCAAACGCGGGCACGCGCATGGAGATCAATTTTGGCCGGCCGTAAGCCACTTTCCCGCGCAAAATTCCAAAAGACCTCTGTCACGCAAAATGTGCGAAGAAAACTTGAAACTTTCATGGACTTTTTGTAAAAGACAACAATATTAGGGAAAAGGAAACCTCAACACTATTGGAACAAAAGGTTCATTCAAGTACAAGTACACTTATCCTGTCGATTGAACATTCTGTTTTAAGCTTTACCAAAAAGTTAATACGCATTTAAGCGACCATGACTTCCTAGCTTGAGTGGTTGCTCGTAACTCGTGTGTGACTACTTCGTTTTGACAGTCTGAACGCGCGTCACCAAGCACACGTACAAGGCCATTAATTACTTCTGACCCATCGTGCGGCATACCCAGTAACGGCGAGACAGATGAAGCTCTGGTCTCGTCCCCAAGACTTGTCTTCCTCTTCTAAGCCTCCATGATCTACTTCTGGTCCCAACGTGAGTAACAAGGAGAGTTTTAAAAAGCAACACATCTTTTGTATTACATGAACAAAGGGTTTTTTTTCTTAGTACACTGCGGTTTAGTTACGAAGAAATCACTCGGCCTAGAAACCAAGTTTAAGTTTAATATCTGCAACCAAGTGTTTCGTCAACTGACTCGTTATACAAAATCCCCGTCCAATTAGTTTGATACTCAAACGAGGGTACTAGCAAACAATGCCAATTCACTTGATGCAATTACGATGTGACAACATCTGCTCATGCGCTCACCGGGCCTTCTGTATGGTCACGATACAGCCATAGTCATTTCACCACTAGCCCCAGCATAGACTCGATTTCCGCCGCTCTCCCGGGTCTGGTCTTTCTCGTTCCTCCTCGAGAAGAGATTCTTTTCGGGGAGGAGCGCTGGCACCGGTTCCCGAATATCGGCTGGCAATCGAGCCTAGCCCTGGTAGTTATCGTCAAAATATAGCTTCCCTTCTAAAAGTGCCGCTTTGCCGTGATACTATACCGTCTTTATTTGGATTATCAACTCGTTGCAGTTTCATCTAATACGAATGTTTCTGTAGAAAGAAGATTCGGCAAGAAGTAGCCATAGGCCATTTATAAGATTCCCAATTGAAACTTCTGTTTGAAAAGGAATACTAACTTATTACACCTTTCGGTCAATTTACATATTCTGCATACTGTTCTCTATACATTCCTAACGTCTGACAATGAGAACTTGTCTCAAAATCAAAAGCTTCTTCAGTAGGCGATCATTTGCTATATTCTCGTGCCCTTAAAGACTTAAGTGTGATTCAGACGTGATATTGTGAGCGGAAATTAGATGCTGGTCAGATGAGCAAATAAAAGTTCTCTTCACAATGAGAGTTTTCAATTTTTTGCGTCGTTTTGAAATTGAGGCCGTTTAGAAGTTGGAACATAACTATGGTTGGAACTATCAAACCTACTTAGTTTTACCTTGTGTCGTGTGATTCCTTGGGTTAAAACGTTTCTCACGAAAAGTTATAGCCGCGTCGTGCTAGCGATTTCTTGTCAATTTTTTTTTTGAAACTTTTTTTTTGCCCTCCAAAAACCCGGAAAGATATTCTACACAGTTAGTTTGCAATTCTTTAAAAGTTTACTCATATTTCAAGTGAAAATGATCGCATCTGGAGTTCTGATTTGAATTTATAATCTCCTCTATTTTTTCTAACGAACATGCCAAGGAAAGGAAACGTCTTATTCACAAATAAACACAACAGAAGCACATTTTATGAGGGGAAACAAAAGAAGAAAGGATATTTGATTGAGAAGCAGAACAAGTAACCAATACCTAATAATTAACGTTTCTCACTTCTACACAAAAGGCACATCGACCATATGGCAACTTGAGCATAGTCTTGTACCATACCGTTTAAGAATTACTGCGGACTAACTCAACAAGTGTTTTTTTTTTTCTCTCAGAGCGACACAGATGGAGGTTAGGTTAGGTAAACGTTCAATGTAAAGCCGAAGTCTTTTTTAAGTGCTAAAAGGTTTTAATGGCTCTCAGTGGCTTTTGATTACACAGAGAACAGAAAGAATAAAACAGACAAAGTGATAATTAAGATCCCCAAATGTCTTCCTTTGCGTAATTAAAAAACAAAAGTTTTTCCTGAATTGAGCTAATTGACGGTTTTAAAAGGTTATTAGTATGTGTTGATGAGGACAACTTGAAAAGGAGTTCACTGGTCGTTAGCGGGAAGACAGAGCTGTTCCAACGCGACAGAATAACGCCTTGGAGTGCGAGTGTTTTCATCGCTGGTAAAACGGGGAAAGACTGTTGCGAACAAAAGGAAAACTAATAATTAACCTCTAGTGAAATAAGTTCTGAAATGGAGAATGGGCCGGCTAGGCAAAAGTGCGTCACTGTTCACTTTGAAGAAACAGTTCGCCGAGCAGCCATAACGCTGAAAGAGCCCCACGACCACGAATAAAGCGACGAAGAATTTAAAGACGGAACTGATGATTGCAGCAGAGAAGATGGGTGGGATACAGATTTAGAAACACCGTCCAAAGACGAACAGAGGGGTCGCAGAACGACAGATATAACAGGGAAGTCATCGTACTTACGAGCGTGTCGTAGGCTCGGAGTTCCACCTGTTTCTGTCGTACTTGACACGATTCATACTTCGGAGGTCGCTTTGCCGCATCACGGGTTAGGGCCCAAGGGTGGTAGGGCACTCGCAAGGGCGCTCGTTAAAAGCACCACCGTTGAGAAGCTCGACTTGCAAGAAAACAGCCTAGGCGAGGAAGGAGTGGATTACCTCGCCAGAATGTTACTCGAGAACTGTTACATCACATGGATGAATCTCTCTGGAAACGTGATTGGTTCGAAGGGAGCTCGAGCAATAGGGGGCGTCCTCAAGGAAAACCAATCTCTTCAATGGCTTGATCTGTCTTTTAACAACTTTGTTGACAAGGATGCGAAATCAATTGCTGAGGGTTTAAATAGCAGCACAACCCTTCGATTCCTTAACCTGAGTCAGAACTCATTTCGTGAGGCTGGCGGAGAGCTACTGGGTCCTGCTCTGGCGGAAAATAATAGCATCACCGAGCTGAATCTGAGCTGGAATCATTTGAGGCTGAAGGGGGCGATCGCGATCTGCAAAGGTATGGGGAAAAATAGCTCGATTAAAATCCTTGATCTGTCGTGGAACGGTTTCGCCGACGACGGAGCGGAAGCAATGGGACACGCGCTAAAAAATAATGACACGCTTCTTGAATTGGATCTGAGCCACAACCGCGTAAATGAAAGAGGGGCACTGGGACTGGCTAAGGGTTTGGAAATCAACCGAAGCCTTCAAGTGCTGAAGATTGGATTTAATCCTCTCGAAAACTCTGGTGCTTATACTTTTTTAAAAGCAATCAAAGGAAACCCGAATTCAGCCTTGGAAGTACTCCATCTCGACAACATCACTTTAAAGGCGAACTTTGAAATCCTTTTAGCAGAATTAATGAAAAGCAAACCTGCCTTACAAGTCACCCATGCTGTCTCTATCCATAACAGAAAAAGAGGCTCTGAAGCCAGTTACCAAGACAACCATGGCGATGACGTCGGAGGGCGAATGAAGCACGAACTGTTAACGGCGCTAAGGACATTCTTGTCGGAGAAAAGACTTCGTGCTTTGGACCTTTTCAACTGCTTGGATAAGGACAAGACACAAAGTGTGTCGCCGGATGAAATGTTTATTGGGCTGAAGAAACTCAACGTGCCGCTAAGTGACTTACAGTTGAAGAGACTGATCCACATACTCGACAAAGACGGAGACGGTGAGATCAACTATGGAGAGTTCGCAGCTGTCAACGTAAAATAATTAACAAATGGTAACCACCACAGCGTACAGTATTGAGTTATGGATGTACGCGGGAGGTTGCTAAGCACGAAAGAAGCGTAAGAGTCGCTCGAGGCGATAGCCGAGAGCGACTCTAGCTTCTTGAGTGCTTAGCAAACCTCCCAAGTGCATCCATAACTCAATAGTGTACGCTGTGGTGTTTACCATTTGTTTTATAACATAACATTGATACATTGTAGCTAAAGAGTTCCCTTTTATTTAACAAATCTTACGTGACCAGAAAAAACAAGCGCGCGCGGAAAAATAGTCTTTGTATTAGCTCACGTCAGCAGCGTACACCCATGGGAAAATGGGGGACGCTAAATTGACCAATCAGAGCGCGCGCTTTACTTTGGTTATGTTATAATTCTATTTCTCCTGCTCAATGAGTGACGCACAGGTCTTTATTACTCTGGACCGAGATCGACAGGTTTAAGTTCATTTGCTCTGACGAAAGGCTAACGCTCGAAACAACAGCTTAAGATTCTTTACAGCGACCAATTTACATTATCGCCTCAGTTGATAAAACTAAATTATCTTTTAGTACCCCCACCGATGCAGCGCCATAGTTTCGTTGGCAATTTATCCCCTTTTATTATTTGAGGTACCCCGGCTGGGCTCGGATCTCATCCAGGAGGTGTAGGAAACGCCCCATGCTCCTTCACTTCATAAAGATCGGGAGAAGATCGAGTTCGAGAATGATGGGCCACAACTCATGAAGAGCTCAACGCTCATAATCTAGCACAACATTACATACGACAGTAACATAACATAACATAACATTTATTCAGGAAGCTAGAACGCAAATGTAGAAAAATACATCCTGAAAAGGGAAAATCGTGAGGTTAGCCCTGTATAAAAACAATTTTCCTTACTAAAAACATACAACAGATAAGATTTAAAGGCTACAGATTCAATAAATATTCAATAAATATTCAAATAAATTTTAAGTAATCCAAGCAGCAGAGAAATAGCAGTTAAATAAACGATAACAGTGAGAGAACGTGTGTTCAGAGATGCAACTGGTCACCGACAGGTGCTCTCTGATCCATTACTTTGAAGTGGGTGTAAAACTTCAGTAGGGGGGGGAAGAAAAGTTGAGTAGAGGATAAAAACCTAAACTTAAACAACAACGAAGAAAAAAAGTTTAAGTTGATATTACCAGATGCGGAGCCAAAGTCACAGTGTTTTGTGACCACGACGTGATGTACGAGACACAGTGGAATCTCAAGTTGTAACAATCTCCTCAAATCCCCCCACCTCTCCCTCCCTCCCCCACCCCGAGGCTTCTAGTTTCTCCCTTTGCGCGGTCCATGTTAACGTGAAATGAAGACAAGACTTGAAAAGCTGAATTCCATGGTAATAATGATAAATACAAAAAGCAAAAGAAACCTGTCATCATAAAACCCAGGATCCCAAGTCTTGTCATTGTGAAACAAGGAAGCTTACAAGTTTCTTTCAGATTCTAGCAGAAACATTCGTGTAACTGGAGACTCTTCGATCACTTAGAAAGCGAGGTCCAGACCCACATGACGGTTTGAACCTCAAGAACTGACCGCACGTTTGCGTGACTGTCACGGGAATCATTTTGAAAGTGCATTTCTTGTCCTTGCTTGGTCTCTCAAGGAATATGATTGGTATGGTTGTCATGGAAATGACACGAGAAATCATGGTATAGTCACAGCTACATTTCGTGAAAAGAACAATCGATCGACGGTGATTTAGAAAAGGACAGCAGAATCTAAATGGCTGTTTGGGCGTTTTAGGTGTCTTTGGCTGAAAGCTATAAAATTAAAGGTAGGATTAGTCTTCTCTTTAAGTCTCTGCAGTTTTGTTCTGGTTAAATTCGCCAAAATTCAATTAAACATACATGGCGGTAAACTTAAGATCCCTTGATTTCAGTTTGTTTAAGAGAACTAAGGTTATTTGCATAGCACATAACATTTTATCCTGATTCAAGTTTTCAATATGTTCTCGTGGACTTTGCTAGCTTTTAGTTAACAATTCCGTGGATCATATTTTAATTTGAGCCGTAACAAAAGCTTTTCAATTTGTCTGACAAAAGATAAATTCCCTCACGCCGACTGGAACAATCGAGCACGTTACCCAGCTTTACCGAACTGTATCGAGCCCTGATAAATCTTGAACCGTTGAATCGATCATTGTTCAGCACAGAACTTTCTCGAGACCCCGAATGTACCAGAATAGGCCTAAATATGGGCTATAGAAGTAATCTCGAACTGAATGACCGAGAACGCTTTTGGAACGCTTCTAGTCAATATTCCACATTCGCATCTAGCTCCAATCATTTTAAGTGAACCATAGGCCAGGTTTCTCTTACTAGCAAAAAAATTATGCCTGAGTGATTAAAAAGATTCAAAATTCTATGTGGAAGAACTATGAAGTAAAACGACAAAATTGAAATGTTTCCGGGGTAAACAAATAGTTTTAATAAAATTCCGAAAATCGGATTATGTTGACTCGAATGTCGCTTTGATCGAAGACGATGTTCTAACGAGTCAGTGGACTAGTTAATCTTGCATCCAACCGATCTGGAACAGAAAATGGATTAAAAGTAGATTGCATGTCAAGATTACTTTTGGTTTTCAAAGGAAATCGCTTCAATCTTGTAATAAGGAATTGTAGTTGGGAGCCTCGGTTAATTGGGCGGGCTTTGTTTGTGCATGTACATGAGGCAAAACATGGGTTTAGGAAGGAAAAAATTAACGAGCCTGGTGTTTTGTTACTGAAAACCGTTTAAATTCAAGTTGTTTTGTTTCTACGGGTGGTAGTTTGATCCAGTACATGTAAGTGTATCTGTTTTTGCTATAGCAAATTATTCAGCCAGGAAGATGACAGTTTTAACAGCTTTGATTTCACTAAGCTAACAAAGGGGCAAAAGCGATAATTACTTTCTCAAAATCCGCATAACAACTGAACTGTTTATTCCATTTCAGCATGACAATGCATGCTAGAAATGCCACAGTGAAGAAGGTTGACAAGACCTTACGAGCATTGAGCTCTGTCACTCTGTCAGTGAATCCGAATCATGGAAAACTCAAACCAGGCAGTGCTTCACCTGCAAGTGGCACTGATGAGAGTGACGATTCAGATGGATGGGAAACTGATTTAGAGTGTGAAGAGGTACTTGTCATCTCATGTTGTACTCTACCTATTTACATATCAATTGACACCTCTCTTTCCAAGGGGCCTGGTGAGCCTTGCATTTTAAGCGAAGTCTATCAAAACAAAAACTTGCAAAATAGAAATAAAAATAGTGGAACTATGTTTTTTCTTTTCCACCTTACTCCCAGAGTTTCACATTGCATGCTAGCCACTATCTTTTTTTCCCTGATTTTTTTGGACTTGAGCAACAGAGTTCACAGAAAGGGATGGATTGCTTGTTAAACACGAAGGCACGCTATAAAAGGAGAGGTGCCTTAGGTACCTCTGGATCAGTTGTCAATCAACTGTCGTGTGATGTAGAACTCAAAGAGTCAAGTCAGCTTGAGCTATAGCTAATCCAAAGCAGTGAACAGCGGGCGCATTCCTCAAAATTGTTTTATGTTTTCGTCACAATACAAGAATTTTTGAGATTTGTATTTCCTTTCTCCAATGGAAACTGTCTTTATTTGTGGTGGTAAATTTGAAATCGAAGTAGGTGGTTCGCATGTTACATCATTGCCACCATGCTGGTGGAAGTAAACATCTCATTAGCTCCTTTTGTTCGTCTACCAGGCACCTAAGGGACCTCTCCTTTTATAGCATGCCTTCATGTTTAAGTTGACAATCTCACCCCATTTAGCTTTTCTCCTTCTGCTTTTCAATTGGTTCATATAAGATAACCATATGATTGGATAACCTAGTGAAAAATTTGCAATCAATGCACTCCAGCTCTGATGAGGAAGGGGGGTACTCACTTATTTGCTCTCTTATTTAGCCTAAACAGGCTTGTGTACCTAAACAGCGTCCGACTGCAGAGGTGTAGAAGAACTATGTTTTGTCCCCCTCACTCCTCACTCCCAGAGTTCCATGTGGCATGCTAGCCACTACCTAATTTTTCCCTGATTTATTTTTTTACTCATGAGACAGACCTCACCAAAAGTGAAGGACTGCTTGTGAAGTCTATTGTCTCACCCTTTTTAGCTTTTCTTTGCTGACATTTCAATTGGTACATCTAAGATAGCAAGTTAGCCGTATGATTGGATAACCTTGTTAAGAAATTTGCAATGAATGCAATCCAGCCCCAATGGGGGAGGGGCTGGTATTCAGCTATTTACTCCCTTATCTAACCTCAATAGGGGTGTGTATGATTGTGCAGAGTTTTGATAACAGCACACAATCTCACTATTCACCATTTTGAATGGAACATCTCTCTAAGTCTCAGCATTTTCCTTTTGGTAGAACCTCCTGCTGTCTGCCTTACATTTTCATGTTTTAAGCTCTGAGAATTTGGTTTTAGATCAAGAACTGCCACATGGTTGAGTTTTTCTGTCTTCTTGTCACCTTTTTCGCTTTAAGAGAAATTATTTTCTGGCCACTCCTGGGAATCAAATTGTTAAAAAGAATATGAGTTTCAGCAATGCATAGTCTACATTTTCTACATCACGACCCGATACCCTCACAGTTTTGCAGCAGGTTGCACAAAGATGCAATCTTGCAGCTGTGCAACTCAAACTCATGCCTACACTCTTGTCTTTCAGCTAAAGCCACAGTATGATCCAACAGGGCGAACCCTATACCAGCGTGCGTGTCAGAAACTTGGCATTGTTCCTGCCTCCTTCTTTGTGCGGCACATGACAGAACCGACAGTTACCATGTCACACCATGGACTTGGTCCACTAGGCATCCGAGCAATGGCACTGGCTCTTTTATACAATACAAGAGTCACTAGTCTAAATATAAGGGACAATGGTATTGGAGAAGAGGGAGGTGAGATTGTGGCAAAACTGTTACGAGAAAACTACTTCATAGTGGAGTTAGATATGTCTGAAAATCAGCTTGGTAGAGGGGCAGTTGCAGAGATGGCAGAAACTCTAAAAGAGAACAACACACTAACCAAGCTTAGACTTGCAGGAAATAACCTTGATGATAAAGATGCTGAGGTTATGTGCCAGTCACTGCTGGTAAACAACACCCTTACCCACTTGGATCTGAGCTGTAATACATTCTCCAACAAAGCATGTGAGTTCTTTGCAAAAGTTCTTGATGAGAACATTACATTGTCAGATCTTGATCTTAGCTGGAATCACATACAAGTCAAAGGTGGCCTGGCTCTTGCCAAAGGACTAAGAGGAAATGTGAAGCTTAAAAGCCTGAACTTGGCATGGAATGGTTTATCAGATGATGCAGTGCGAGCAGTAGCAGGGGCTCTGCTTGAGAATGGTACACTGCAATTCTTGGATTTAAGTAACAATAGGATTTCAGACACAGGTGCTTTCAGCATTGCCAGATGTCTGGAGAGCAATTCTTCACTGGAAGTTTTGAGGCTGTCTAAAAATAACCTAAAAAACAAGGGAGCAAGTGCTCTTCTGAATTCTATTTTAAAAAATGGAGACAGTAGAATTCACAAGATTGATCTGACTGGTGCTTTCTTAAAGGAGGAATTTCATATTATTGCAGAAGAATTAAGAAAGTTGAGGCAAACTGAAGTCATTACAGATGAGACTCCAGAATTAAGACACAAACAAGAAGAACCTGATCCAGGAACACTTTTGCGTAACTACATAGCAAAAGAACATGTTCAAATTGTAGACTTGTTTCAAAAGTTGGATCGTGATGGGAGCATGCAAGTAAGTGTGAAGGAATTTGCAGAAGGACTGCGGAAATCACAGGTTGGGTTAACACAGTATGAGGTGGACAGAATCATTGATGTGCTTGATGCAGACAAAGATGGTGAAATTGACTACAGTGAATTTGTTTGTATACAAGCTGAATGGAAAAATGATGAGAAGGGAAAACGAAAAATTTCAAAACAACCTCATTAAAACATAACTGGACTTTTACAGTTGAACTGTCAAACAATAGGATCTCATGGATCATACCAAGTAATGTAGCTCACAAATGAAGGCAAATTAATGAACCCTTTACCTTCCAAGGTTTTGGTGCTTCTCCTCTCTGACTGCCATGCATTTCTTTGTTATCAGACCATCAAGATTTTGAAGTTTTATTATGGAAACACTCCCCCCCTCCCCCAGATGTCTGTTCTCATGATGTGTTTGCGAGAATTTGTATTATAACATAACCAAAGTAAAGCGCGCGCTCTGATTGGTCAATTTAGCGTCCCCCATTCGCCATGGGTGTACGCTGCCGACATGAGCAAATGTAAAGACTATTTTTCCACGCGCACTTGTTTTTTCTGGTCACGTAGAATTTGTTAAATAAAGGGGAACTCTAGCTACAATATATCAATGTTATGTTATAAAACAAATGGTAAACACCATAGCGTACACTATTGAGTTATGGATGCACTTGGGAGGTTTGCTAAGCGCTCAAGAAGCTATAAAGAGTCGTTTTCGGCTATCGCCTCGAGCGACTCTTGTGCTTCTTTTTTGCTTAGCAACCTCCCGCATGCATCCATAACTCAATAGTGTATGCTGTGTTTACCAAAAAAATTTTTTGAAATGAAATGATAAGTTCTATGCTAAGAATAAATTTTAAGGATTTACAAAACTATTGGAAACCCTTATCCTCAGTATGTTTATTCTCCATCTTTGTCTCTATACATTTCTTTAGCTCCTGAACAAGAGAATTTGTTTGTAATATTCAGGGGTATCTTCAGTTGGTGATTATTTCCTTTATTCTTGTGACCTAATTATTTAAATGAGGCTAAATGAAATTTAGGCAAGGTTGAAATCAAGGCACAATTGTCAGCGAAGGACATGCTGCGGGGCGCCCCCTTTGCAATTGCAGGGTGACAAGGTTTTCAGGACGTTTTGAGATCGTCGCAGATCCTAACATGAGCCACCTCTTGTGCTCCCACCCTCCCTCCTCTATGGCGGGCCAAGAGCAGGTAAGTATAACACAATTCCACTGACTTGTCAGTGTGGCTGGTGCCAGGGGGTGGACCGACGTTGTGTTGCCATGGTAATCTGCCTACTGTGGGCAGTCAGCGCGACTGCCACAGTGCTACGGCACCTTCTTCCAACCTCATCAGTGCTGATGAGTTTAAATTCAGGGCAACAATGTAGGGAGGGTAGACTCTGGGTCAGATGGCCTGGGTTCAAGTCCTGGCTGGGGCATGACCTTGTGTCCTTAAGCAAGATGCTTCACTCACATTGCTTCATGTTCTCAGATAAGACATAAAGCCCTACGTCCCATCTCCTGCAGGGTTAGGGGTAGGATACATAAATTTCCCATGCACGAGATAACTGTGTAGTGGATGTCCTCCCCAGGGTAAGATGGGTCGGAAGGTGAGATTGCTGCATGGACTGAAGCGGCTGCCAGAGGCGCCTGATAAAAATGCTGACGTCTGATCTCAACCTTATGACAATTGTAAACCTGCATGTATGTCTGCAAGTGTTTAGCTTGATCTATCCATATATCTATCTAATGAGGTATTAGATGTCTGGTACTCTCAAGGGCTAAAGTTAATTGAAGAAGAGCACTTGACTGTGTTCATTTTTTAACAGTATCTGTCCAAATACAGATTGTGACGACGTGAACTATTGCAAAGATTTGGTGTACTTTATTCCATTAAATCGATAATTTCTCTGAGAACAAATGACAACAGTTTTTACAATAATTTTTTTGATGCTCCCCAAACTTGCAAACAAAACTGATAAGCAATGTAAATTTTAATGTTGGCTATAATTATGTAAAAAGAAATGATGCAAGTGTGGTGCATTGCACCACTGACAAGAAATGTCAGCAATGACTTTTGATAAATTATGTTCAAATTTTGTTTGTTAATGATCTTTAAGAGTAGGGATTTTTCTGCATAATCCAGTTGACTGTTTCTTCCAGAAGTGCCAACTTGTAATGCCTGAAACAAAGTAATAAGAATAATACCTTAAGTAAAGAAAACACTAGTTTAAAACTTAACAGTTTTACACGTGTGAGAAAATATTGTTTTGGGTAACACCATGATAATCCCACAGCCACAAAGAGAAAGACAGCAACACAGATGCTAGCCGCTAGCTAAAGTGTTTTTTTTACAAATTTGAATATTCTTTACAATAACAAAATGTTAGATTTTTACAGCTGCAAATGTGTCACTTAGAGAAATTTTGAAGAAAATAATTTTAAGTGAACAATCAGGAGATTTGATTTTGAAAAGGTCTAGACTAAAGGCAGACTAAAACAGAGGCTGCAACTCAATGACCATTAGGGCCAGTTGTCTACAAAATGTCTAACCCAAACCGTGCCTTAATACAAGCAGTGGGCCTCAGAAATTCTCTATGAGAGGGTTGATTTAATGAAGTAAATGTCCTTCCTTTTTAAGCTTTTAGCCCTTCTTGACACTGTTTACAAAAATGAATGTTCAGATAAAGGTTCGGCTAAATTGAAGATGGCTGAGAATGCGGTTTTGCTAAACAACTGGTAAACTTTGTTTAGATAACTGGCCCTTTGTGTTTAACAAGGACTGATAAAACAGTTCCACAACAGTTTTGAACAAGTAACTCGAAATACTGTATTTCCTTAAATAAACTCTCAGGTGCTTATTTAAATTTCAGCCAAAAGGAGGGGTGGTTAATGGAGGAAATCACTTATTTAGAAACTCTTCCCCTGTGCTGATTCTCCTGTAATTGAAGCTTTAAAAGTAAAAAATAAGGTGGCAATTGAAAGAGGTTTTCCTTGTATCCCTACTATTTAAGATGACAGGGAGTGGGGCTTAGTCAAGAGGGGCGCTTCACCAATATCGTGGCCTAGGGGGTGGGCGCTTATTTGAAAAAATATGGTGTGTCAATCACAAAAGAATTAAGTTGTGGAACCTCCATTTATGAAAAACCTTTGAGACCAGGAAAAGTGTCTGCAGAGTAGAGGTGTCTGGCCTTCAGTGAAAGTAATTGATACAAGGAGTTCTGATTAAAGAATAATTTTTTCATTCCCTTGGAATAAAGGTGAAAGAAAAGAAAAGAGCTTATCCTGTAGTGTTTAAAACTTACCTAGCCACATTTCTAAAAGTCTTCAGCTTGTTGAAGAACTCATCAAGAGACAGGGTGTAGGAAAAGTTGCCTGCACATTTGCAGTATCTTGACATATTTGTGGCATTTACCTGCAATGGCCATTTGATCAACATGTTGAAAACAAAGATACATGTACTAAAGTTCAAAACATTGTCTGTAGCTTTGACAAGAGCATAAAAAATCAAAGCTGTGCTTTAACCAGGGGTTTCAATGAAAGCCAGTTACGAGGCCTCCTGGTGGTCTACTGCTGTCTACAAGACCCCTCATCACTCTCTTTAAAAAAAGTGCAATATAAGTATTAAATATATCTTATTAACCAAGAGCAAGGGCTGTACTGGGAGGAGAATATTGGCCTGAGGTCTTGACAGTACGGACTGAGCGCAGCGAGGTCCGTACAAAAAAGACCGAGGGCCGTTATTCTTCCGGTACCGTCCCAAGCAAGCTTGGTTAATAAGAGATTTATTATACGAGTCATGTAATAAATATTATTATTATTATTATTATTATTATTATTATTATTATCTCTGTTTAGACGCCACTCAGACAAGCTCTCACGTTTGGGTTTTGCCTTACAGCTGTCTATTACTCCATAATGGCTGCCACTTATGGAAAAAGTGGCTGCTTTAACCCCATACTGTGTGCAATGATAACTAAAAATTTGGAAATGGTGAGAGACGGATATATTCCTCAGATATTCCTAAATGTTTCTTGTAAATTTTCTTGTTTTCCTTAGAACTAGTATTTCAAAAATGTAAATTTCTTTCTTCGTCAATGTTTTTTGTGAAATAATTCTGTTTAGAAGGAATTTCTTTCTGGAATGGTCTTTTACAAAGGAATTTGCCTCAGAGAGATCCAAATTCATATATCCTCACTAGAGCTAGATTTTCATCTCCACTTTTTGCATCAGAAATTGGTAATTAATTGCTTTGCTACTCGGTAAGTTAACTTAATCTGCCAGGAGTAGACTCCACTGTTGTGTATGAAAAATATTTCCGAGTAACTGCATTATTATTAAATTTTTTCATCATTATTAATAAACCCTCTCACTCACTCTCAAGATCTCAATAGTAATTCTCCTTGACTGTCTGGCATACAATTCTTATGGGCTTTAGCCCATTCGCTCCGACGGAGGGCTAACGCTTGAAACATCAGCTTTTATAATCGTAGCAGTGGGCAATTTACCATTTCAACTTTGTTGATATATTCAAATTATTTTGTTACCCCCACTGACGCAGTCCCAAACAGCTTCTTTAGAAACTATCAGCCTTTATACAATTCTTATGATGTTACTTTGAAGAATTTAGTATTTGATCAACTGCTTGTCCCCTGATTGATATTTTTCTTGATTCTCATCACTATTCTGCTTAAACTTGTATTGATATTGTAAGGAGAAATTCTGTCTTGGTCACACCTATGGGAGTTAAAGGGTTAACAGTATACTCCCATTGTTCACTCCTGTTTGAGAACAGATTTTTCCAAAAACTTACTCCGAGGCATTTAACACATTTCAGATCCTGAAGAACAAATGCCATGGACTGCTTTTGCACCATGTCAATTAACTGGCTCTCAATGAAATCCATATCATATTCACTGCCACACTCTAAATTTGCGCATCTGCAACATGCACTGCAAAAGGTAAAGAAGGAAAAAATAAATACAATTTGTGGGATAAGAGTTGATGATAGTGTGACAGAGTCACTTAGGCTTATTTTTTACTTAAAACATGTTTGTTCTGTTTATTTTATTTTCTGGAATTTTAGTGACTTGTCAGTAATGTGTTAATTGTGTTAGTAATGGGTTAACCGTATTAGTAATGTGTTAATTGTATTATTCCCTTTACCTGCCCTTGTCCTGTTGTGTAAGAGTAAACACCGATTTTCCTTATGTAATTCCTGTTTAATTGACCGCTCCTAGCCCATGTTTGGTTTTAAGTTATTTTTACCTTTTCCTGTACTTTACTATAAGTTACAACCGTTTGCTCGGTAAGTTCAGTTGATTTGTTGCCTTCCTGAGAGTGCCCTTAAAGCGGATTCCGAGCTATACTAGCTTTTGGTATGTTTCAGTATTTTATGTTTGTTTGAGCCCTAAGCTTAGCATGTAGTTGTTTCCATTTGTATTTTTGTAGCGATTTTCGGGTTAGAATTTGCTTAGTTTAGCCACATATTCCTTTTATCTTACTACTGTATTTATTTGTTTACTCTGACCTTTGTCACACAGCATGTAATTTCTCTGCTATGATAAACTGCAGTTGTTTTCATATTAGCAGCTGTAATATTTGGCTTACCTGCTTCCAATTCCTTGTTGCTATGATTGCTGTGTTTTCAGTACCAAATTATGGGTTCATTACACTAGTAATTTCATTTTCCCCTTTCACTGTTTTATACTGTACTAGCTCAAGTTGTAATATTAAGCCTAGCTCGTAGTCTTTGTTGAATTCATGCCTCCTGTAGCAATCACTATTTTTGATAGTTTCTGGCACACAATTTCCTGTTTTCAAGTACTTTGTTTGTTTCCTTTCTTTTACTGAATTATTTCTGTCTGTAGGTTATCCTTTAGTGTTAAGTACTTTCCCCTAATCCATTTTAATCTTGTTACATCATTAAGCTCATTGGAGCTTTGTTTTCTTATTTATTGTTTAGTGTCACTCATTCCCGTTTTTTTTGTACCGTTGCATTTATTTGGTGTATAATAAACTTGTCAATCTTCCCTCGGATCTTATGTTCTTACATCCACAGTTTTGGCGGTCTTACAATAGGTTGGCAAAACATTTGCTAAGCTACTTACGGATTGTTTCCCTCTGCTGCGGTTATGAAGGGATCACGGCAGAGGTCCAGATCACGGCAAGAGTTACAGGACAAGCAAATAACCTATCGGGGAAAATATCCAACATTAATCATGGTGTCAAAGACGATGTTCGTAATGTTATGCAGAAGAAGCCAGTGTACCTCTGGAAGAACCAGTGACGAACAAGGATCTCTAAATGTTGCCTCAGAAGAAAATTCTCCAACAGCAAGGAGCCTCAGCAGGTCTCGTCTGTAGTAGAAAATAAGAGCACACAATTGACACCTCATCAACTAATTTCAGTTGCCTTAAGTTTCACCCTTTACACCCTAACATAAACATATGCATATTCTCTATACTATTTTCTATACATTTCCCAAGGTGTTGACAAGGAGAATTTGTTCAACAATCAGCTTCTTGAGTTGGTGATCTGTTCCTTTATTCTCATGACTTTAACGTGTGACTCAGGGGTGATGTAGTAAGGAGAATTTAGATGCAAGACTCTCTCAGTCTGAATAATTTGAATATAATTATCAACAAAGTTGAAATGGTAAATTGGCCACCGTTACGGTTATAAAAGCTGACGTTTCCAGCTTTAGCCCTTCGTTCGTCGCTCGGAGGGAAGTTCATACCTCAGCTTGTTCACTTGATGCTGAGTGTTAGAATCTAGGGACAACACCTAAAGACAAAATGAAAAATTCAATTCTGATGAAAAAAAGAGGGGAAAAAAGCCTGACCCAGGGGTTTCATTAATGTTTTCAGCAGGAGGGAGACTGGTTTTCACAGGCGGCAAAAACTTTTTAAACTAAACTTCTTTGTAAGATAAACCATCTTCCAGATTGTTAAACCAGGTGGGCAAAACTGTCCTTACAACCAGTCAATTTGGCCGGTGCCCAGGCCCTTAATGAAACCCCTGCTGACCAGATGCAATTATATAAACATGCAGTGGAACACAGGGAAGCCCAATGGTTAGTGAGCTGGACTCTGTGTTTGAGACGTGACTGGGATGCTGCTTCGTCTTCTCGGATAAGACGTAAAGCCGGAGGTACTGTCTCTTGCATCTGTCAATTAGTTACTTTGGTTAGGCAGGGGACGTTAAAGAACCCACATCACGAGATTACTGTGAGGTGGTCTGTCCTGTTTACTGGGAATTGGGGGAAGGGGGCATCTGTAAAATTTCTCCTTTGTTGATTGTAAACAGCCACTGGCAGTCTGGAAAGTTCCCCGCACAATGTTGTAAAGCACATTAGATCATTACATGGTAAATGTGCTATAGAAATTGATAGAATTATTATTATTATTATTATTATTATTATTATTATTATTATAATTATTATGTGTTGTGTTCTTGGGCAAGACACTTTACTTTCACAGTGCCTCTCCCCACCCCAGAGTGTAAATGGGTACTGCTGAATTGTCAGGGAACCCTGATGAAATGCTGGGGATAAGTTTGTGATAGACTAGCATCCCGTCCAGGGAGGAATGGTGGTACTCCTAGCAGGGCTCTTGCACTTTTTCAGGAACCCAATTCAATGTCTTCTAAGGAATTTTTAGGCCATTTTCAAGGACCTTGGCTCTCAAATTCAAGGACCTTTTGCATTAAACAGGATCACATGCTAGGTTATTTTCAAGGTTATTCTCAGTGCACCAATCAGGTACAAAATAAATAAAAATCACTAGTCAACATCATAATCAGGTGTGGAATTTGAAAGGAAAATTTGCTTTCGTTATTTATGCTGGAAACTTACACTTTCAACACAGAAAACAAAAGAAAACTTCAACTTTGATTCCTCTGCACTTATTTTCAAGGACTTTTCAGAAATTTTCAAAGACCCGAGTCTTAATTCAAGGGTTTTCAAGTCCTTGAAAACAAAAAAAATTAAATTCAAGGACTTTCAAGGAGTCTGGGAACCCTGTCCTAGACTCTTCATGCTAAGGAAACCTGGATAAACTCCAGCTGGCTAGGCCACTTGTTTGATAAAGTGATTGGGATAAATGAAGCAGCCGATCTTAATTACCTTGCAGATGAACTTCACAAACTCCAAAGCAGGATTGTTCAGTGGAAGATGGGATCCAGGCAAAAGAGGAAATTCTGCACTAGGATCTGTATTTGAAGATCTATCACCAGATAATGCATGTTGTATCTTCTGTGTCACACTGAAATAGATGGATATTTATAGACACTGCTGTTAGTAATAATTACAGAATAACCCTTCAAAAAGTTCCAAGATGGAGATCGAAACAGACTTTTTTTTTTTAAACAGAGTCAAGGTGTCGAGGCCTTGGTAACAAACCTGCCTTACCCTCCCTCCCCTTCTTCAGAAATATGTCCATTATAAGTTCATTGTAAAGGGGTGGCAGCCTTGGTAGAAGCACTTCAGGATCACTGTGTGTCTCTCAAATAAGGAGACAAATATTCTACTATTTCTTTAAATGATAGGAGGTCATTGTGAAATGAGTTTCCCATCAATTAACGATCCTTAAGCAGGATAAAGCAATATAATTAGTAGCTCATAAGTCATATAAATTAAAAGGTTTACTACCAAGAACCTTGCCAGAAGGATGCTTACTTGAAGAGAGTTTGAGTGAGTTCACCAGAGATCCTCTCCTGGGCAAATGTTACAAGACTAGGTGTGGCTGATGTGTCTGCAACTTTCTGTTGGAGAACAGTCAAATAAAAGACAGTGAGGTTTTCCTCATTTTCCTTTTTTGTTTGTTTGTTTGTTTTTTTTTTTCCCCAAAAGATTGCACTGAACTAAGATGGTTGAGAGCTAAACCTGTGACTGAGAACTTGTTCTTTTCTTGATTGGAGTACTGCCAGGTTCAATGCGCCTTCTTTCTTCCAAGGAATGGGTGTACACTGCATGAATATGACTAGCAATGATAATCTAGAAGGAAATAGAAAAAATTCTGCTCAGATACATTGCAAAGAACACTAAATGGTGTATGTTCTTTGTGGTTTGCTTGTGATTATCTGTAGTCAGGTTTGCTTATGCCTTACACCATATATTTGTTCTAAATTGGACATTTCATTAAACAATCAGCATTTTGAATTTGGCAGCTTCGATTTGGCACCTCAAATCACTATCATACTGACCCACATTCTAGGTGGATAAGGAGGGCTAGAAATTAACGGTAACTCGTTAACCAAAGGTTAGTAATTTTCAAGGTATGGTTACTAAAAATGTGTCCAACTAACCCTACATGGTTAGTAAAATTAATTTTCTAACATATTTAAACATTGGTGGACTTGGATACAATGAGCAGCTAGACCCGACTCTCAGAGGAATACTTAGAATACTCAAGTTGTTAAATCAATTTAAACTTATTTTAGAGAATGTGCTGTAGATGTACTGTTCTTGACTAATCATGGTAAAAGAGAGGGAAATAAAATAAGTGCATAATTGTCAACATTTTTAAGGTCACCATGCAATTTCAGCTACTCTTTAATTTAATTTGTGCTGGTTGTTATCATCAAAATGTTGAATATTTGAGATATTGTAACTTGTGAACTTGGATACCAAACTTAATAATTTGGTTAGTAAAAAAGATGTCTACTAACCTGAAGGGTTAGTGCTCCAAAAATTAAATTTGAGCCCTCATAATTGTAATAAATTCTAGATAATGCGCACCCCCCCTTCCCCTGAGATCAGCTGTGGCTTTCTTACTGTAATTAGTATTCTGAAAAAGCCTTGTTTGCATCACCCGTCAGTTATGTCATAGTGGTGCACCCCTTCCTAAGAAATGTCCTGGATCCCCCCATCTGATTTGCATGGCAACAACATAAACCCACACCCCACAACCATGGTAAAACAAAGCTCCATGTTTATAAAATTGGGTTATTTCTGATAGTGTCACTGCCTATAGCATCCTCACTCACTGCTCAGTGGCAAGTACTTAGTAACTCATTATCCCTGAAACAGACCTGAAAATAGCTTTGACAAGAAGCAGCCGAGGGAAGATACCTCTTCATGTTCCAATTCATTTCCACATTGGGCTGAAAAGAAAAAGTACAAAAATAAAGGAGATGAGGTATTAAGAAGAGGTCAATTTACTGCACAAGAGTTTTTCAAAATACTAAAATATGGCTCAAGTTTGAAGATCTGTTGTAGAAATGGAGCAGTATAAATGACATAATATTTATAAATGAGTTCTGTTCCAGTATGTTGCAACCTTTTTTTTCTGATTTATGTTAGCAATTGGCTGAAATTGTTACACATCATGGAGCACTTGGAAAAGAAGCCAAACATTTAGACTGACAGCACTTATGAAGCTGCCAATATTTAACAAATCAGTAAGGTGAAACAATCTTAGATTAATTCTTCTCCAAACACTAAAGATCAGAAATGCAACTCTATATTTTTCTACTTCAGACAGTATTAGCTTATTATGAAGGCAGGTTAAAAAGTTTATTCAATAAAACATTTTAAAAGAGATACAGCAAAAACAATAAAATCCACACAGATAGAAAAAAAATTATCATAAAAAAGAGATTTCCTTTACTTCATCATCATCATTAGGAGTGGCCATCAATTCATCACTACTGTTCTGTGGATCCTCCATATTTTCCACAACCTCTTCTTCATCAATTTCCTTGGGAAGCTTGCCTCTCACCCCACCATGGTTTGCCTTCGAATCAAAACAAAGTTGTTGCATCTCAAACAAATAACAGCACATACTACCAGAGTTTTAACCGGGGTTCATTGCAGGAAGAGTCAGTACATTGTAACATACACGACTAGGCGACCCTTCTGCATTTTGTCTGGTTTCTCTGACAATCATTTTTAACTCTTTACACCCTAACATCAGTATGCATATTCTCCATACTGTTCTCTATACATTTCCTCAGGAGCTTCAAGGAGAATTTGCTTAACAGTCAAGAGCTTCTTTAGTTGGTGATAAATTCCTTTATAGTCTTGTGATCTTAATGTGTGAAATTGTAAGGAGAAAATTTGAAGCTAGTCATGCTAGCCACACTTGGAGAGTATGCATACTTAGATTGTAAAAGGTTAACCTTTTCACTTTGGTCCAAGATCTCAATAGTAATTCTCCTAACTTTACACTTCTCGGAGCAGACTCATAATTATAACAGTAGAAATAAAGACCTTATCCGCCCACCTCTTACCAAAACAACTAAATTTCAAACATCCTTTAGTACAATGCCGCCAAATCCTGGAACACTCTTCCTCGTAACCTACGCCATGATCAGTCTCTCACTAGTTTTAAGCTAAACATCAAGAAACACCTAAATTATCTTAATTAGTTTTATCTTTTTTGTACTACTCAAATGATTTTTACTGTCTATTATTTATTCACAATTTAATATCTCTTCATAATTTTTGTATAGATCTCCAATTATATTAGCTAATTTAGTAATTATTCATATTATTTTGTACAGATCTCCATTTAAACCAGCTATGCTGAACTGGAATTTCTGTATAAATAATGTATATAAATATAAATAAATAAACTAACTGTCTGCCATACAATTCTTATGTTATTAGTTCAGAGAATTTGGTATTGGATCAACTACTACCTCCCTAATTGATGTTTTTCTTTATTCTCATCACTCGTTTTCTGGAGATTGTGTTGATATTGTAAGGAGAAATTCTGTCTTGGTCACTTACGGGAGATAAAGGGTTCAAGGAATGAGACAGTCTAATATTTACCTGGTCCATCCACATAAGATACTCCCAGCAAGATTCTGGTTTTATTTCTATACTATGGAACAAGTCTTTTCTGTGAATACTATTGAGAATGAAATCCACGTATGCCTTGGCATCAGCAACACTGTGGGATGAAAATGAAAATGGCATGCATTTTAGGTTTTGTTTAATGATAGGTTACATGTGACCAGCCTTGAAACCCATTGCATCCAGAGTTTATCCTGCTTTCTATACAACACTGATGTGCAATTGTAAAATGCCAAAATCCATGACAAAATAGTTGACACATTGCCACTAAGATTGCAATTTTTTGCTACACCAGACCAATTTTTATTTTTTTTCCTAAGCTGCCCCTTTACAATGGAATACTTTGTTTTGTGTTTGGAAAATACTGAAAAGGGGATGCAGTAGCAAATGGTGAATCATTTTAAATTTTAATTGTTAATTCTTAATTATAAACGACTTTGCGGATTTTGTGTCTTTTAAGTTTCTTGCAAATTTTAGGCTGAGCCCACCCTTCCCACCAACCAGTACTTTGTCGGGTTTCCAACACAAATCAACCAAACCCGCTTAAACTCCTACAGAAAGGAAGGCACAGTAAGAGGAACCAGTGTGTCATCCAAGAACACACTGCCATGAACCAGCCAGGCTTTAACCTGGATTTCAATCTAGAGTCTGTACTCAAATCTTCCACTTCAAAGTTGTGCCAAGATAAACTAGTTGCAGAAACCCTATTATAGTACTGTACCTTCTCTTCTTTGTGCAAATGATTATTCTGCTAAGGTTTGCAAACACTATAGTGGAACCAAGACGCTTAAATTCAGCTATGAGCTGAAAAAAACCACAGCAACCACAGATTTTAGAGTATATAATTTAAATTATTAAAGGAGAGGTCTGAAAGGACAAGACTAGAGATGAAGCTTTCTCAGCTCCCCCCCACTAATTTTTTTTGTAAGAAAAATAAGGGAGGAGCTGATATACAGAAGATATAGAGAAGATAAATTATCAGGCTTTCTTAATGAATAAGAGAGGGGAACGTCATTATGATTTCGTGACAATTGTTCAAAAGAAATAATCTTCAGTCGAGCATTTGTTAACCATTATGAGCTTAAAATCGAGGAAAAGCTTTCCACAAGCGATCAGGTGATGGAGACTTTAAACTAAAATGAAACTGACTAAGCCGACAATTTCTCTCAGTTTTGCTAAATGTAAATTAGTTGTTCACTATTTCTGGCTTATTCCAGTTTCCTGCAAGAAATGCAGACTGGAAAAAGCTGTCAATTTCTAGCAGCAGCCAATACGTGCATTGAATTCCAGCTATTTCCAAGTTTTGAAAGAACTTAGAACTTGGAAACACTGGAAAAATATTTTCTAGAAAAAAGCTAGAATAGGATTCTGGAATAAAGCTGTCATATTCTAGAAACTTCTAGAAAGCTCCAGAAATTAACAGAAAGCTGGAAATTGGTTTAGCAAGGGGCATTCCATGATTTTTTTCGTACTTCTGATGATCGTGCTGAGGAGTGCTACACATAACCCTTTGGGTCACTTCATTAAAGCTAAGTGAGAAGGTACTGCTGGTTTTCTGTTGAAAGAGTGTTAGTTAATGAACAGCGGGGGGCCAAAAAGGAGGGTGAATTACAAACCTGCATGTATAACTTCTTCATCATTCTTTGCACCATTCTACACAAAGCTGGATCATAAAGAAGAGCAGAGGGAGATGCTAGCCACCTGATTAAGAGAATATAGAATGCAAGTTACTACAAATGGATTAAATCAGAATAAAGCAAACTGAAACAAAGGGTGGAAGGTACATGAAACCACTCTCAAAGCTTAATGACTCCAAAAGACTGGAGGTTAGCTTGCTTCAACTAGTTCCTGGCATAGTGGTATTTGTTTCTCTCCCTGGGTGAGATGATAACCATTAGAAGGAGCGCACCCCCCCCCTCTCCATCCCTATGTATGTAGTGAGGGTTTTAGATAGACAGATAGATAAATCGTTTATTAAAAAGAAACACCTTGCAGTCCGAAGACTGAATTATGTGTATAATTTAGTTTGAAAATCTTAATAATAAAAATATACAAAATTTTCTAATAAAAATGTTTCACTTAGGATAATCTTGTGTTAAGAAAATATACCTACTTAAACATAATTATATATTTACATCCTTAAGCGCTATGGCTAACAACAAAAGATTTTTTAAGACAATCTGACAATTAACTGGTAACAACTTGTTTTATTAGGGAAGGGATCACTGTGAACACAATGCAATTACTCTTCAAAGGGCTCAAATCGAGACCTTTGAACTGGTGTCCTGGATGTCAAACATTAACCTTTTCACTCTCAAAATCTGATTGTTAATTCTCCCCTCCTGCTGCCACACATTTTCCTGTAAATTAGTTATGAAATTTTGGTTTTGGTCGTGCCTGATAAGTTTGAGTATTTTCATTACCTGATTGCTGGATAATGCATAGATAAAATACAGGATGAAGTTACAAGTCAATCACTTCGGGAGTCAAAGGAAGAAAATACCCCATTCATTTACCATAGCAAGGATAATTGTCAGCTTAAACCACAAATATCAGCTGTCTCCAAAACCTGAGCAGTTTGCCTTAACATATTGTACACTACTGTGTCTTTTTTCTCATAATTTCACCTGTAAAAATGCATCAACTGTGCATCTGCATTCAGATTTCCATACGTAGACACCTCATGTAACCAGCTGTGAACCATACCCTTGAGGATTCTGCAAGAAAATAATTATAATTCCTTGACACCATGAAGTAAACAGAAACCATGAAGCAAAAATTAGGGCTCTTCGTACCTACAGTTCTTCAAATTTGCACACAACTGAAGAAGTTTGAGAAGTTCTTTTTGTCTGTTCTCATTTAAGGGTAGATGCAACAGCTGTGGTGTTGCATTCAGTGAAATTGTATTATTTCTGTGAATAACTATTTAATGTGGCTGTTTACTAACCTAAAAGCACTGGAGCAAAGAGCAGCTTCATCATAAGTTGTCAAACTGGAGGCTGCACTGGACCCTCCTTGCACTAGTTCTACTAAAGAAGCCTACAATCGAAACCAAAGGCATCAGTTTTTCCCGAGGGCTACTCTCCTATATGGCCATAAAGATAGGGGCTACCCCAAAGGGAGGGGGGGGGGTGGTTACTGAACTGTGTTGGTCTGCAAATGAGAGTAGAGTTTTAATATTGCAGTCTTACATCTGGTCTGATTTTAAAGGTAACTTCAAGTCTCCTGCATCTTCTCTGTACTGGGTAGAAGGTGAAGTAAAAGAACTCACACACTTCTAGCAAAGAGTAGGGAATGTAACTACCACTGTGTGGTCTGGCCTTGTTTCCAAAAATTCCAAAATTTGGGGCAACTATTAAATCTCCTTTCAAAAATTTTAAACTTCTCAATGCAGTCAGGCCATAGTCTCTTGCAAAATGTTGTTAGGTGTATTAGAGCATATCAATGTGGAGATTGCACAATAATGCATCATTATCATTACTAGTCAAGAAAAAGGGCATAATTATAATATTCATCAAAATAGGGTACTAGCTGTCACCTGTGGCATACTGTCAAAACTGATTCCAGTTGCAGAGCCTCCTTCAAAGTCATTGATATGTGCAGACTGAAAACAATTATGACAACAAAGGCAATTCTGTTAACCCTTTAACTCTTTGAAGTGATGAACATGTAACTTCTGCCTATAATTTCCATACATTATCCAGAAAACAGATCATGAGAGTACTCAAACTTATCAGGTAGTTGTTATCTTGATCTAACACCATATTCTTGTGATTAATTTACAAGGAAAGTTATAGCAGTTAGAGGTGAGAATTAATAATCAGATTAAAGGGTTCAGCAAAAGTGCCATCAGAATTTTCAAACAGGTATAGATTAAAAAATAACAACAACAAAAACAGCAATGGATACATGCACATTACTACCTCTGCTAGAAAACAACTGAAGACTTGAAATGACTCTGTTATTGATTGAAGTTATACCACTCAAAGCTTTTACAGCCTCCCTTAGACTAAACCCTTGACATCCTTATATTCATAACAGGTGGCCAATTGTGGAGGATGGGAGTTCCTGACAGGGTAAAGTAAAGTGGATCCTAAATCCCACTGCAGCTATTCTAGCTGTGAAGACCTGGCAGGAACCCTGAACCAGCTGGCAATTAGTAGACCACTTTCATAAATGGCTGCCGTATTAATATTCTTTTGTTTAAATTTAAATTAGCCGTTCTAGCCTCGCTTGAGATAATCTATTCTTTTGAATTTTGTACTGGAGAACGAGGCCAGTAGGGCTAATTTAAATTTAAACAAAAGAATATTAATCTGGCAGCCATTTATGAAAGTGGTCTATTAGGTGGAATGGCATGACCACAATGGGCCAATATACCCCTCCCAGTGCAACTTTATGACTATGGAGAGCGGTGACACCAGATGATGATGATGATGATGATGATGATGAATAGCATCAGTGATGGCAAGCATGAATGTATATTTTGTTTATATTTACCTGCAATACAGTGTTCACTGCAAAACAGTCAATTGAGAGCTCCACACAAACTGTTGGATAGCACCCTGGGCGATTGACTTCAATGTTCCCCCCTTCTTCAGAGACAACACTAAGTCTATTGAATGAAAAAAATAAACCATACTTGATATTTTATGATATCATTGAAATAGTAGACATATTATGTGTAATAGCCACACAATGGTGACATTAAATTTTTTTAAATACCTCAGGGTTCTCAATAGAAGGCAGGCAATACTGAGGGCTCAAGAGCTGACGAAATGTTCAGCCTTAACAATGTTACATTGTTATAAGAATGAATACAGTCAAGTTGACAGACCTATTATCATCATCCTCCTTGCCGCCCAGATCAGGTCTGTCCATTGGTGACATCCACAACAAGTGATTGTGCTTCTGAAGGTGACGTGCATAGAAGAGGTCTGCAGCAAACAGGGTTGGGTCTGATGGGACATTTCCCACTGGGACATGAAAGTACTGAGCTAGTTCAAGCTGAGTCTGGTGGTAAGATTGAAATTGATTCAGCGACAAGTCATTTGTCATTGCCTGTAGGAGGGGGGGGTTCGAGGATTTTGGTTGTGTTAGGATAAAATTGCTTTGATCCCCCCTTGTAAAATTCTAGCGATTCCCCCTCATTGTAAGATGATTGACAGTCAACTTTCTATAGTCCACATTTTATACTCTGTTGGTAATGAATGACCCTCCATTATCCCCCCCTGAAAACCATGTGATCCTCAAATCAAACTCACGCTGTAGACTTGTTTGATTTTGAAATCATGCAGATCAAATTGCACTCCACTTAGTTCAATTACCATTATCCATACAAGAATCATCCCTGACCTGGTAAAACAATTCCACCTCAAGGTAATGCTGTACCATCCTTCTTGCAGCATGTCGCTGCCAGTCAAGAACATTGTGCTGAGCATTGCTGTTGAATAAAATAATCAGTCAGTCACACACCTAGACATGCAGCTTATCCTGGTTCAAAAAGGAAACAGGTGGCAGTATGGTTATCACCTGTGGATCAAATGCATGTTATCTCTCCCCCTCCTCCCCCCCCCCCCTTAAATGTTTCCTTGAGGTATTCTGACAGGCCTGGCTGAATGGTCAGCATGAGTAAACATACCAGTTGCAGTACACCTGTATACTTTTTTAAACGCTTGGAAACAAGAAACAATGTGAGAAAACCACATAGTTTGTCCAGTGACTCATGGACAATGACCTTGCTTGTGGCTTGATCTGGATTTCTTATTTGGAGTCCAGGGGCATTTTTCTTTTTGAGGTATTTGATGTTAATATAAGATTGAAACTTATGTGACCAGGCTCACAACTGTGTATGACATTGCAATATTTTCATCATAGTTTTAGAATTACATCTGCAGAAACTATCGCCTATGATAATCAAATCATCCTACACACAGGATTTGGATCATATATTTCCTTTGTCACACTCTCACACCTAACTTCAAAATCATACTGAAGAATTTCCTTCGTCCTACATACAGGATTTGCATCATAAATTTCCTTTAGGTCACACTATCACACCTAACTTCAAAATCTTAAGAATTTCCTGCTGTTGTTCGATTCCTTATAAAAGAAGTACAGTTAATTTAATTCAGTAGTTCAGAGTGTCAAGACCTGCACTTACAAGCTCAGGACCTCTTGGTCACAAAAAGTAACTCTAGTGTAACCTCAAGTTAGTGACCTATTTTACTGAGGATTTGCTTGCAATCACCCTTTTTATATTTTTGTGTACTTTCCTGTATAAAAATATTTTATTGTGCCTATAAGTCTGTCTCTTTGTTCAATTAAACAACATCAGAACCTGCCTCGGTCACACTTACATTGCTTTTATTCCTCTCGTATGAAAGTTGAAACTATTGTTTTGTGGGGTTTAATTAGCTTAGTGTTACTGGAGACTTAAAATGCATGAAAGTGATCCTTGCAGTAATAAACCCTATTATAGTAGTGGAAATAAGGCTTAATTGAAAGAAAATTCAGGCCCATACGAGATTTGAACCCATGACCTCTGCAGCACCAGTGCGGTGCTCGACCAACTGAGCTAACAAGCCAACTGGGAGCCAGTCATTATGTTGGTTAAAAATTCACTGAAGACTTAAGTAATCAAAATAGAACAGTAAATCTCTCTCAAGGCCACAAAACAAAATTGAAATTCTTTACCAATCATGTTTACTACAACCTAAAAATGTAGTTCAACACCATAAAAATTGCTGGCCATTTAAATGCCACAAAAGCCAAAGTTTAAGGCAGAGTAACAGTAAGTACCAAATAAATGTATCACTTAAATTACCTGTCACTGTATGGAAGACATACAAGTGGAAACTCTTGAAGACTTGGAATAGATGATGTAAGATGATTGACGTCTATAACAGAACAAAAAGAAATGTTTCTCCAGTCAGCCTACAACAGTTTTTCAATTTCTGTGGGATATTCTCCTAATTCAGATCAACTTATCTAACTTAAGTACTGCCATCTAGTGTACTATTAAATGCATGATAAGCTGTATAATACACACATCATGACTGTTTCTTACTCATGATTTATTGGTGGACAGATATGTAAGACATCACCATTTACAACATTTTGCTTTCTTATCATAATCATAAAACAAATAGATTTCATGGAGCTGACAGGTTCTGTAATGTCTAATATACTGCAATAACTTTTTTTTTATTAAACTGCAGAAAAAGAAGTCTTATATTCACCACTACTGGCTAGAATTGCATAACTGATTAAAATCTTGCATTCTGATAGGTTAACAAAGCAAGGTATTGGAATTGCATGTTGAAAAAGAGGTTAACTGATATCGTTTCACATCTTTTATTTTGTGCTCAGGATAAAAAAAAAACAGTATTATTGCTGATTTCTTTTTTTCCTTTTTTTAATTATTAATTGTACGCAATTCAAGGAAAATCCATTACTTGACTCCTGAATTCTTTATTAAATTGCACTTGAAAAGCAATATTGCATTCATCGCTTCCCAATTCGTGACATATCAGTTTTATATGCAATTTAACATGGAATTCACTTGTCAGCTAATGAATTTTCCTATAGAATAACACAAAGTACCATACCCCAAGGTGACTGCACCAAAATCATTGTGGGTCCACGCCTCTCCTCTTTATAGTTCATAAGAAATCTTTGAATTGCCCTGTAGGTCTGTAAAGATACCAGGTATTAAAAACAAAAATTCAAAAATCTTTAAAGAAATATGCATATGGACCACAGTTATTATATAGATACATGCTCTTACTGGGTTAAATAACTGGCATGCTGAATTGTCTCACGTAAATTGAATCGGTTATAAACATATAAGGATATTTTTTCCAGGCAAAATTCCAAACAATAGAGAAACAATCTTGAAGTAATATGAGGAACTTTGTACCTGTCGAGGGTCAGTATCAACTCTGACATCAAATGCAAGATTCTCTGGGGGAAAAATGCTTTCATCTCCTTGATCCCTTTCAAGCCTGCAAATAAAAGATCCAAAAAAAAAAATAATTAATCTTGTGTCTCCTAAACTGTAACCCTTTAACTCTCAACATCTGGCCCCGGTTGTTCAAAGGATGGATAATGCTATGCACTGGATAAATCTCTATCCAGTGGATAGCGCAGTACGTTTTGGTAACACTTATCTGCTGGATAGCAATTTATCCATTGGATAGCGTTATCCGCTCTTTGAAGAACCGGAGCCTGACTGTTAATACTCCCCTGTAGCTGCTACACATTTCCATATAAATTCGTTAGGAGAATCTTGTGTTCAATCAAGGTAACAACTTGTACCTGATAAGTTTGAGCATTAATTCTCGCTACCTGTTTGCTAGATAATACATTTTAATATTGTATGGGAAGAACAGGGGTTTCATTAATGTTTTCAGGAGGAAGCCAACTGGTTTTCACAGGCAGGAAAAACTCTTTGAACTGAACTTGTTTATAAGATAAACTTTCCTCCGGATTGTCAAACCAGGTGGACAAAACCGTCCTCACAACTGGTCAATTTGCCCAGTGCCTGGCTCTTAATGAAACCCCTGGAAGAAACATGTTAGTCACTCAACTTATTAGCCAAGTGGCTTGTGACGTCTGAGATGTTATGACAATTTCAGTTTGTTTACTAGCCAAACTGGCTATGGGAAATCAAAAACCACCAGCCAAAACTGAATTTCTACCAGTCTGTGGCTAGTTGGCTACTATTAGTGTCGAGCCCTGCACTTAAGGGAATGTCAGGGTTGTAAAGTCTCAGTGAGCCAAAAAGGCATTTAACCTTTTAGCCCCCAAAGAGTGGCTAGCATCTAATTTCTCCTTACAAAATCACCCCTGAATCACACATTAAGGTCATGAGGATAAAGGAAATGATCACCAACTAAAGAAGCTCTTGATTGATAAACAAATTCTCCTTGTCAGCATCTTAGGAATGTATGGAGAACACTGCGGAGAATATGCATAAGACCATCTAAAGGCCTAAACTTTGCCTAAGTTAATCGTCTCATTTTATGGTTTGTGATATGAAGGCTCATATGCTCTACCCTGGAATGAAAGATTTAAACTTATGAAATTTTATCTTAGACAGCTTGGGATACAAATTAAAAAATTTCAAGATCCTCTTTAGCATCTCTACAGAAAAGAGGGCAGCATTCAAAAGCTTCTCTCCTCCTTCGTTACATATCTTTCCTTTTTTTTTTGTCATCTGACTGTATTCTTAAGATACATGTACCTTGCACTTCTTTCTGCTTGATATAAAGAAGACAAGTTTGGCATCTGGTTAGTTCTCACCATATCCAAAACAAACACAGAAGCCTGAAAAACAAGAGTCAGTTTTTAGAATTTTTTCATATCAAAAACACTTACTCAACATGTTTTTCATCTCTTGAAGTCAAGTATGGAAAGAGTCCCAACAATGATATTGAACCACATCCTGACAACAATTTCAACAGTTTTCACACAATAACTATGCAAGTAGTTCATTCAATCTTTGTAACTTCCATAAAAAAGGACTGTGCAAACAAGCATTGGAGCCAAACTTATATTCTCCTTAACAAAGTTTACTGATTTGCCATTAAACTTTACCTTGTGTAAAGCTGGAATGAAGATGGCAAATATGACTCGATTGTCTCTACAAGAGAAATATGTAAATCAATTTTACTCACTATTATGATAATCATTATAAATGTATTTCAAACACATTTTTCATTGAAATATGACATCTGTAATGAAATTTTTCCAAGCATGGATGCTTTGAAAGGTGATAAAATACACAAGTCCCACCTCGTACTAGCAAAGAAATGTGTCACAAACCAGAAAAAAAAATTGTTTGCCTATTATATGAGAAGAAACAAAGAACAGAGCAATTGGTGGTAATGTCACATTCTGATTGGCCAATTCACTAATGTTGATAAGAGTACAGACAACCCTGTTTGTGTCAACATGTCACGCGACATGTCACGCAAAGGAAAGAATCATTTTATTTGACGGCTATTGATGTGATGAAAAAAAATTGACAGTGGTTTAGCACAGTCTGTACTGACTTATCAAAAATGATATTTGTCATCACAGTGTTTAAAATTTGTTGACTGCTCTTCCTGAGTCCACAACATGTTGATCACCGTGATGACGAATATCATTGTCAGTAAGAGTGCAGACCATGCTAAACCACTGTGGATTTGTTAAAGTCTTACGAGGAGCTGTGATAAAAATATATTTTCTTCAGATTCACATTCTCCATGTAGGAACACTCTGCAAGAGTCTTAAACTCCAGTTGGTCCAGCTCAAATGTATCCAGATCCTGAAAGACAGATTTTTTTTCTTGTCATAAGATTGTTAATGACTATTGGCTAATGTATGTTCTTGTAGACAAAACAAAAGTTGAATATTTAAAAAAGTGATGGACTTGAAATAGACACTGCATTATGATTAAGAATCATCATTATTGCACATGACTTCAATACTGACCATTCCACTACACAGCCTTGCAAAGATCTTGTTCACTTTACAGACACATCCAAGTTTAATTATTGCTCTTATTAACAAGGGAACCTAAAAATTAAGTAATCAACATGAAATAAATTCACAGGTTAACCACAAAGCACTTGGATACCAAAATTAACTCAGGTTGATATTGGGTTATGGGAGGGGTAGGTGCACAGTTGCTCAGATCTAATCAACCCCCAGACTGATGAACCTCAAGCAGTCAATCTCTGGGGAAATAAGGTAAGTGTTGGCATGGAGACAGAACCCATTATCAAAAGAGTACAAGGAATCCAGAGCAACAAATAAATGACAAGGGTAATTCAAGATCTTTGAGGATTCCAATCAGAGGATTGGTGCCCTTAGAGAGTCAAACACCAACATCAAGCAATAGCTTGACTGATTTCAAGGTCTATAATGTTATTTACTGAGTGACTAGGTTTTCATCTGCTTGAATTTATGGCCCATAAATCTGGCAGAAAAACCAAGACTCTGTAACTTAGTATGGACAGAGAAAACAGGGTTAGTTAATAGATACTTATGATATTTCTGGATTAAAAAAAAAAAAGGGGGGGAAAATTTCAATTCAAATAAATGCTAAAGCTTGCTAGATAGACAAATCATAGCACACATATACCAGTAGTAACTGAGAGATATAATAACACTGCTTACAACTTTAACGCCAATACCTCCATCCCTAAGCAGTAAGGCAACTGCTTAATCCCAGAACTTTACACTTAGACTCGTACCCTTCCCATCCCGAGCATGCCCATCCCAAAAGAAATAGGGTCTGTTATATGTTGGGCTACCTGTGCCCTTTTTACCATATAAGGAAAACCTCGTGGTGATCTCAAGGGAGCAATAACTGAGATCGACCAACCATCACTGTTACTGTGTTTAATGGTAGTTTATTTAATGTTATACTTTTGAATATATTACAGGGTCCTCAAATAGACAAAATGAAAACCTTGATATTACATGAAAAAGATAAAAGAAACAAAATGCGGAAGCTCAAATGCTATCATTGTGCCACCTTCAATCAAGCTCTACTCATGTACAATGGCAGTTGTTGGGCAATATTCGCAGGTAGCAGTGCACTCAGTTACGCTATGTGATAGGTTCTGCAATGGTACCTTTCAGACACTTTTGACCTTGAACAGTTTAATCATTAGATGTCATTGGTTGATGCCAAGGTAACGGATAAGAGCATGAGCTCATGGAGAAAATAGTCCAGTGCCCAGTTGGATAAAGGACTGATATGCTATCCAAAAAATAAATAGCTTTTCAGTGGATAAGGGACTGGAAAACGTACAACACTATCCACTAGATAGAGATTTATCCAATAGATAGCATTATCCAACCTTTGAATAACCAGTGCCAGCTGTATAACAGTAATGCAATGAGCCAAATTTTTAATTCAAACCTGTGATTCATATATTCCTTCAATGTCAGGGGATGATAAGTCTGTGGCTAATTCACTAAAACAAAAAATAATGAAAAAATTAATTGCAATTAAAACATCAACGTATTGATGTAACTGAAAACTGAAAAATAACATGAGCCATCAATGGCAGCCATCAATGGCAAAGATCATCAGTCAGACTTACTAGAATATAATTCATAAAGGAACACTTACAAGAGTCTGTCTGCTCACCTGGAATGATCTCTGAATATTCTTTCAGGAACAGTGTACTCATAGAGGTTAAGAACTGGATGAGAGTGTGGCAATGTTCGGGAAACTTTCCTCCATGCTGAAAGGATATTAATGAATACTTCCTCATAATCAAAAACTCTAATAATTTTATAAAGGTACACCCTTTCACTCCCAAGATCTCCAGAGTAATTCTCCCCACTGTCTGCCTTACAGCTCTAATGATATAACCGCCTCCCAGTTAGCTCAATGGATAGAGTGCTGGACTGTTGTGCGGGAGGTCGAGGGTTTGAGCCCCAGCCGGACCAACACTCAGGGTCTTAAAATAATTGAGAAGAATTTGCTACCTTTCTATAACATCAAGAAATGGTTAGATATTCTAGTCTTCTTGGATAGGGACAAATAAATGGAGGTCCCGTCTCCTGCAGGGTAAGGGGCAGGAGACGTTAATTTCCCACACACGAGAATACTGTGTGATGGATGTCCTCCCCTGGGGTGGGATGCGTGGGAGCTAGGGTGGACTAGCACGAATGGTTCCTATGTTCCTTTCTAGTCCTTCCCCACTACAAAACTTAATGCAGTGAAAATGGACTAAATTAAAAATTAAAAAAAATTTGGTATTGGATCATCAGATAATCCCATGATTTTCTTTTTTCCTTATTCTCATTACTTATCTGCTTGATATTGTATTGATAATGTAAGGAGAAATTCTGTCTTGGTCACTCATGGGAGTTATTAATACAACCTAACATTTGTGTGCGGGACCCTGAGGTAAGAGGTACAGATTTGCGACCTAAAGAGGCAGGAGTGTTTTTTCCTTAGGCACTTTACTCTCATGGTACCAGTCTCTTTAACTAGAGTATAACTGGGTACTGGCACACTTTCATGGAAGCCAAATAAAATGTTAGGGGGTGGGAGTGACCTAAGATGGACTGGCAACCCATCCCAAAGGAAAAAGCAATGTGCTTAATCACTTCATGCTATGAAAACTGGGAAAAGCTCCCCCTTAATAAGCCACTCAGCCCCTGAGCATACTTTTCCCTCTACTTTTGTTATTCTTGCTCCGAATTCAGGATGAATGGAACTTGGAGTGAATTAAGGTTTTAAAAAAGGTAGTTAAATTAAAAAACCGATTAAGTGAAAAACACTTGAAGCACTGAGAAGAACCAACCAAAAACTCCACCAACATATCATACCGGTTGTGAGCAGCTCATCTGAGCCACAACAGAGGGAGGAAAGTTTTTGCTCCTGAAATGCTGCATCAAGCTGAGTGGCACAGAATGGTCTTATCTTGTTGCAGTTCTTTTTTTATGATCAAATCCAGTCATGTAATTTAAAATCATTCACTGAGACCAGAGTGATGTCTCAACTACTTAAGATAAAGATAGGAAATTCAAAGTAACATTTTTATTTTCTAGACGCCTAAAGTCCTTGTTGTTGATGATACTTTCTTTGCTGCTGTGTTTGTCAAAGCCATAACAATGTTGTATGAGAAATGAAATACACTGAACTTACTTGTCCCAGCTCCTTCTTTTGGGGTGTGGCAGTTTACATAGAAAATCCTGGGCACATTAACTTTGATTGTGTGGAGATCGGTGCCTACTATAGCCCAAACCTTGAATGTTCCTGGATCACTAGTTTCAGCCAACTGAATTATAGAATAGAACAAAAGTCCATGAGTTATTGCTTTAAGCTAGATCCATAAGGTATAATTATGAAAAACCAAAATAGATGACACAAACAATATTTCCATCTTGAGGTGTCAGACACACAAACTCTCACCTGTATTATTTGCCAAGGAGTATCTACAAGAGATCTAGCTTGCTGTCTCATGAATGTTGACAGCCCAGTGGATGGGCCACGCCCAACAGCCAGCGTGTTCATACCCATAGCATCAGCTTCCTTACGCAAACGTTTTCTCTCAGCACGTTGTTTGGCCTGAAATTCCCATTTTTTCTTTTGAAATTGCACCCATTTCTCCTTGTCTTCCTAAAGAAAGGTGTATTGATCAAACCACATCAAGAGAATCAAATTGAACTTTGTTTCATTCAAGACAAAACAAATTTGTTAATTTTTTTTCACAGATAAATGACGTAAATACTACTTTGACTAGTGGATGGTAGTGGATTATGAAAAAATCTCAGAGCATAATTTTTTAATTCCAGATTGTTATGGAGCTCAACAAAGCTATTTTCATTCTCTTTTAATTTGATTTGACAAAAATGTACCCTGGACTTTATTTCAAAAATAAATTTCTCTATTCATCCATCTGCTCTTTGTAGATTATAGGATAATCAGATTATGTTCAAGCTAGGTCACACTGAGAGGACTGAATCATTAGAGAAAAATGTCATATGATAATTACAAACCCAGCTAATTAACACCTAGTTTGCAGCACTTACGTGGTTTTGTGCAAATGAAAAAAAAAACTTGATCAATCAGTCAAGCTTAACCATAAAAACAAATTATTGATTAAAATAATCACACTTGACATCACTCTGTGTTTTTCCCAACCAAAATGAGAGCTGAAGGAAAAGCTACACACCTGACACTTTAAGAAAAACTGTCTTTAGCTTTGGTGGACAAACTAAGAAAGACTTAATGGGTTGCACAAAATTATGGCCCCAAGTGACTTCTAAAGAATCACCAAGTTTCCCATGTGTTTCACAGGAGATAGGATAACTTGGTGGAAGAAGAGTTTGGCAATCCATCAAAGGTCACTTGGGACTTTTTTCCAAGCATCTCTTCAAGTGCAAGTTGGGGTATTTCACCTTGTTTGGCCCCCAATGTGGAGGTTCCCCTAAAACTTCTCTCCATGTTTGAGACAACTGTCCATCAGTTTGCTGTGAGGAATTTCGACTTGTAATGTTGGAGAAACTACTACCAAGAGTCATTTGTCCATGTTTCCTCTTAGTGGCCACAGGTATACCAGGTGGCGATTTCCCTTTCCCACCAATATCCTCTATGTCCAAGGATTGACTTTTGGGAGGACTGTGGTTTTCTTGATTGGAGATGTCATCCTGTGGCTATAGATTTGAATCAAATGAGGGTAAATTTTCATTAAGTTTTGAGACCAGTTTATATTAGTGAAAGACAGTATGTAAAACATGAACCAAGTTTCAGATTTGAGGAGTTCAGAAGGTCTTAGCTGGTTCCATCCCTGGAAGGGATATTTTTTTTTCTTTGTCCTGCATGCTCATGGCTAGACGAAAAAACATCTTTCTTCATTTCATAATAAAAACTCACAATCTTTCCTATTCTATTATTGACAAATCATGCACATAATTGTGCACAATTGGGAGCCAGTGCTAATATATTGATTCAATTATCTGTTGATGGTCAATCAGTCACTTAACTGTTGGTCATTTAAGTTTTAAAATCAGTAAGCAATGAACAGAAAGAGGGCCATTCAACAGCTAGTGTATATCATGTTTGTTTGCTCTTTCCTTTTTTAGTTAAAAGTACAAGAAAAAGAACAAATTTTAACCTTCTTCTTGGGAAGTGGTGCAAACATGGCATTGATCTTCTGTTGTTTGAAAACATCGTTTCTTTCTAATAGCCTTTTGTGTAACCAGTCTGGATGAGAGCAACGAGGAACAGGGTTACTGACCTAAACAAAAGTAAGAAAGTTGTATTTTTAACAATACTTCAACTCATGAATCTCCAAAGAATGCTTAAGAGATACCTACTTTAACTTATTTGAGTCCAACACAAAGCTGTCATTTATAATTCATTTATACTTGACAATGTAAAAAAAGTAATGAGTAAAGAGGAAAACTTCATGATCAACTGCGCAGCTTTCATGCTTGTGAGGCAAAAGATCAATAACATGGTCCTCTGTGTCAAGGAGATCTGTCTTTATTTGTTTCCAGGCGAGAGGATCAGAAGATTTTGGTTGTATCATGATTATAATATTTACCTGATCCCCCAAGTAGGGTCTGTGATATTCTTACAACCCCACCCATCACTCTGTTGTTGACTGATCACCCCACCCCATCCATTCCCCTTGGAAACCATGTGACCCCCCCCCCCCCAAAAAAAAAAAAAAAAAATCCACCCCAGGAAGTAAATAACAACTGGTCCCTAACTATTGATAAAGAATGTTCACTGTACACATACATACAAAATGGTAAAGGGACTGTTTGGTACAAGCTTCATGGAAGATTTTCAAAACTTTGACAACTAAATGAAATCCTGCTCAACTAAAATAGAGTGAAGCTGTTTCTGAGTCATAGATCCATACAGCTTACATCCTTAATTTTTGGTAAATTAAATCCACAAGCAAAACAATTTATGAAAATTAGTACTTTCTGTAAAGGTGCAAGGGTGCATTACTGAGCAATATTTTTAGATTGATTATCACCTTGAAGTTTAACAAATTATGCCCCAGCCCTTGCCCAAGCCAAAATATTGCAAAACAATATCTTTTCAAATTTACCAGCAAGTCATGAAAATTATCAACTTCAAGGTGAAATCAATATGTCTTTGAACAGTATTATTGTGAAAACTTGGTCATACTCCTTGCAGTGCAGCTGGAATAGTAATGATCTTCTGAATACAACTGTTTAGCCGCTCAATGTAATATTGCCAATCTAGGATATCTCTGATGTCAAAACTGCTCATGGATGCATCCTTTAGCCAACGTCGTAGATAATGTTTCTTCACACCATCCTCTGTTTGAAAGATTGCCAAAGGTATGGCTCTTTCAGTAACTGGTGATCCTTCCGGCTTTCTTGAAATAATAAACCGGCAGCTGAGACCCTTGTCTTTGACCATCTGGTCACCTAGAAATTCTGACAGTCTCTTTGCTGTACTGATTGAAGTTGATTTCTGTCCTTCGTAATCTTCAAGCTTTCTAGACATGCTGCGGTTCTCACAGATCAATTCAAAGAGTTCACTGTCGGGCATATTTGCTGCCTAAAAGAAGGAAATTAAAATGACTGTAATAGGTTGAAATGTCTCTTGGTAGTAGGGTTCAAATCCACAATTCTCTTCTGCCACTGCCAAAGCTTCACTTAAATATTTAACTACACCAACTCCCACAAATATTGATGAGTGAAAAAAAAATTGTGACAGTTATTAAATATATAAAATCATCAGTTCAGCTTGGATGTACTCTCTTAGCTTAACCCTTTAACTCCCGCAAGTGATTCACATGTAACTTCTCCCTACAATATCAATACACTATCCAGCAGACAGCTAATGAGAATACTTGAATGCATCAGGTTGAAGTTATCTTAATCTAATGCCAAATTCTCATAACTAATTTACAAGGAAATGTGTAGCTGCTAGAGGGGATAATTAACAATCAGAACTTGCAGTTAAATGATCAAGTAATGTACATGAACTTGACCTTACAAACATACTAAGCACTTGATTGTGCTTGAAAATTGTAAACAAATAAATAATAAATAATAATAAATAAATAATTGACAATGTAGGGAGAATTTCATTTATTTTATTTCCAAGAATGATGGGGTTACCACACCTTGCTGAAGAGAACATCAAGCCAATAGTTTGCCACTTGGGCCACAGCAGCATAAACTTCATCTAGAGTTTTCCCCTGAAGGAAAGCTTCAAAAACAGATGATTGGAAAATCTTGACCAGCTGTAGCTCACCACGTCGCTTTACTTCAAATCCTTTCAATTCTGCCAAGGATCCATCATCATTGAACACTGCATATCTGATAGAAAATACAGCAAGGCATAAATTGTGTTACAACTTAAATCAAACATTGGTGTACAGATCAAAAACATAACAGGTGTATAATCAGTCTTACAATTTGCAAGAGTATTGCCTCTCTATTGACACGTCAAGTTGCAAATACTGTGGTTATCACTCATTAGTAAATACTAAAACAGTGGATAGCGTTGAAGGTACGCTCTGATTGGCCAGTCAAAATCCGAATATCCTTGGCTATTTACCTCCAAACAACTTGGAAAAAAATGGCATCCCGGTTTGCATCCGCGACAAGCGAAGAAATCACTCAAATCAATTTTGGTGGTGTATATTATCTCACTGTTTTAGTATAAATTATACTAAAACAACTATTCACCTCAGTGTCGGTGGTTAGTGGAGGATATTTACCTTGCCACTTTGCAACTTGGTAAATATCCACCACTAACCACCTCCACTTCGGTGAATAGTTGTTAATTAGATGATGTTTACCTAAATGGTTTACACCCTAACATCAGTACAGATATTCTCCATACTATTCTCTATCCATTTCCTAAATCACTACCAGGAGAGTTTGTTTAACAATCTAGAGCTTTTTTTGCTGTTGATCTTAATGTGTGATATTGTAAGGAGAAATTAGATGCAAGTCACAGTACTCTTAGGGGTCACATGATAAACTAGTGAAGTTCCAACAAAATAAATACATTTATTAGTAGTATGTAGCATTCTTCAATTTTGATAACAGATGCCATGCCACACCAATGGACTCTTTCACTCTGGCACTCACGAGCACACATGAGAAATGCAGTACAACACCAATTCACACTTTTACCTCTTCTTTAATTTCTTTCCTTCTTCTTTTGAGGCAGGAAGAATCATTGCTTTATAGGGACCATCAACCTGACAATGAAGGAATGAAATTAATTTCAGTTCACTTTCCCTTTACCAATTACATATAATTCCCCCAGTCTAATAAAATATCATACAAACTACCAATTGAGAGGGCTAACTTTCTTTTCTGCAAAATAGATGTGTCAAATTTCTCAACAAAAATTAAATTTAAAAAAAACTTTCCCTTCAAAGGATTGTAAACATCACAACTACCCCAACAATTATAAGCTTAGGAAAATGCATTAGATAGCAGATTCCACATTTCATTCATATCTGTGTGGAGGCATACCTCAAAAAAGATGGAGTTTTCGCTTCTTGTTTCATAGATCAGATTCTCTGCATCTGTAAGTTCATGGTACTGGTCATTAGTGTAGTGGTTCTAAAAGGAAAAATGGTAAGGTGACAAAATATTTTTTATGCACAACAACTTTAAAGTGCAATCTATCTCACCTCTTTACATAATTATAATTAATCAAGACCAACATTCAAAATACCTTAACCATGATGTTTAACATAGCTCCAGGGTAAGAAATTGCCACTTTACTCTTCTTTGGATTAGTTGTAGTTATCTGTGTGTCAAATGTTTCATCAATTTATTTCTCAGATATTATACAAGCTGTGATTGGTCAATTTGGTGAGTCACACTGTTGGTCAAGTTTCAAAAAAATCAAAGCCAATAAATACTATTAATTCACCTGGAAGTTTTCAGGGAAACTTGCTGGCAGAACACACCAGATTCCATCAGTGTCTAATTCTAGAGGACGTCTTAGAAATAGAAGCCACAAATGAATTAGTGATCAATAAAGGATGCCATTTTGAATACCTTAACATTAGATTTCCAGTACAGTAAAATTTAATGGTTAAATGTTTTTTTCCTTAATTTTTAGCTGCTGTTTTTAGAGAAGACTTATGCAAAGACCATGCACCGAGGATAACAAGGCCAGGTTTTATGTCCTTGCTAT